GGGTTTTTCTTAAATCACAGGCTTCTTAGGCATCAACATGCTGTGACTATGCAAAGCCCAAACAGAAGGAGGTGAAAAATACTGACATTGTGGGAACTGAGATGTATGAGTATTTTCATCCCACACCCTTCCACTCCCCTTTCTCAGAAAAAGTCCAAGATCCAAGCCTCTTTTGATGTTTTGGTTTGTTTTTATGGTGTTAGATGGGCCTTTGCCATCACTTCCTCACTACAGAGCAGTCAAAAACATGGGAGTTCACATCAGTACTGGGGTACCAGAGGGAAATAGAAGCACTGGATAAGAAAACCAAGGTATTTATCAGTGCTAAAATTTAGACAGCACCAACAGTTTTTGAACCAACACTATAAATTTACTTGTGGTGGGTTTAGCTGTGCTCAGGAGGAGGAAGATTGTATATAGTAGACACAAGCAAATACCCAAGGAACGTTCCTAGATTCTTGCTAAGAAGAATTGCAGAAGGCAGAGGTTGGCAAGGAAGCTACTACTTCAAACAGCATAGAAATGTAAAAAGTTAATCAAAATGAATTTCTTTATTATTCTTATCCTATCTACTTTCTAATAAAGGACCTAATGTGCACAGAAATGGTTTTTCTATACTGCATAAAATGAAGGTTGAGTATTAGACAATTAAAGGATATACAGTTAAAAAAAAGTCATTCGCTGTAACTGTTCCTGGTTTACTCATTATAGCAGTTCTTCTTTTATATAAAGTACATTGCCATATTAACTATGACCTTACGCTAAAAATTCAGGGCACATATGATTTGTTATAGCTTCCTATGTGACCACTATCTTCATTTTGATGCATATCTATTTCTCATTCTGTCTCCTTCTAAGAAATTACAGATTATATGACATCAATGCAAACTAAAAATTTTACAAGAAGTTATTGATGACTGTCATAATAAATTTAACCATTTAAAACTCTTAAGAAAAGGTTTATAAATTAGCTACCTGCATTTTTTTAACTTCATATTTTCCAACTTTCAAATTTTTGGCCTTTATCTTACATTGAAGTATCTTACCTTATTGTGATTAAAATCTTTAACCAGAATTATCTGGCTGGCTGAAAATTATGTACTTGTCTGACTGGGATTTTCCTGATTATTGTAATCACTTCTTACCAAACTTACCTTATATCAAAAAAAAAAAAAACAAAGAATTCTAACTCAGAAATCAGAAGTAAGGACAGGGTGGCCATGTAACTTGTCTGCTATCCCATAGATAATTTGGACAGTGATCCTTAAACAATTTAGAACAGGTTCCAACTAGTATAATTTCAGATTGCAAATTCCTCCCAAATCATAATTACCACCTGATTTTTGTTCCAAGAATTCTGTAGTAAGAGTTTTATTTCATTTGTTTAAAATACTTATCCTTCAAAACAAAACATTTTGAACAAAGAGATTTTTATTATTTAAACATTAGGCTTAATATTATAGTTCCCTTTTAAAGGTATATACTCACTGGTAAATCTTTAAAGATGTCAGGCACTTGAATAGAGGAAGAAATGAAACTAAAGGTTTTCCATTTCTGCTGGCAAGTGGGGCCTGCATAAGCTTCAGGCCTCTGTGGCACAGAAATGTGCTACAGTTCTTAATGATGGGCCCCACTTCTATTATCTCACTCTTGGCCTGCAATCCTAGCTTCCTAGGAGGTTGAGATCTGCAGACTGTGAATGCCACGGGTGGGGATAATGTGGGCTTCTTCGATGGGGCATTAGCTCAACTAGGTAAGGCTGCTGTGAGACACCAGGTCAGGTGTACCCTGGCATACCACACCTCCAGCTTGAGCTAGCATATTGGGCTCCACCTGGCCATGGTCAGTGCTCACTGCCCATGTTCCAGCTTGCCCAGGCCACTAACTCTGCCACTCCACTAACCCACTGCTACTTCTTAGTGGGGATTAGTAGACTGGCTGTGTGGTGAATGGCTAGGGAGTCATGCCAAAAAAAAGTTCACCAAAAATCTGAAGATGAATTAAGGTCCAAAAACAAAACTCTTAAGACTTAAGGAGAGATTATTTTAATTAACTTACTAGTCCAGAAAAAATAGGAGCACACCCACTCAGCAGAAAAGAAACTTATTCATTTATTATGTTTCCAGTGATAACCACCATCATCTTATGAAGAATATTGACAGTTTGGCACTCTTTTGGCAATAAATTTTTCCTAGAGGCATAAGTGAACAATGTCAAATTAAATTATATGACTGTTCAGTTTGGATCAGGTATCCATCCAGGTGACCAGTCCACGATACAAGATCATACAGAGTGGTGGTACTGTTAGGGATTCACTCTCCTAGATGTTCATACAAGAGAGGTACGGGATGGGCAGTTTTCCCTAGAGATATATACTCTAGTATTAAAAAAGAGCATTGAAGAAAATATTGCTTAACAAAGAAAAAATAAGGCACCCATGATTCTAGCATGTAAGAAATAAGTTAAATAAGGAAATCAGTCTCTCTTTTTTTGAGAAGAAAAGGATTAAAATTATTATAGACAGAAGTGACAGAAATAAAGATAGTGCTCATGATGAAATAACACAGAGGGATTTGCTAAATGGCTTCAAGTTAGGTGACACCATGGGGAGAGGCTAGATAGGAGGCTGGAAGGGAGGGGAGTTTAGAAGGGAGGTAAGGCTGGAGTTTTCTAGAGAGAAATATGTTACTTGCACATTAAGTTATTAAGACACACTTATTTCGCAATGGGAGGTTTTCTTCAGAGAAAAGATTTAGTTCTCAAAGGTTTGCTTTTATGACTATAGAAGGATTAAGTAGTTTAGGGCAACTCCAATGGCAGAGATCCAGTTAGTGTATCTTGAAAGAGACCAAGAAAAAGACCTTTATGTGTTGAATAAACTTAATGACAGACTAAAGGAAAAATCAGTGTCTAAATGGCAGTGCTAACAAGTGGGTGGAAGGATTGGGGCTAGAGGAAAATACTTGTTTAAGGTAATTGAGCAAAGGCTTCAGTAAAGTGAAGTTGTGCAACATGGGTGGGGAGAGTCATTCTGGGCAAGAGACAAGGGAAGCACAGTATTTCGCAAGTATATAGGGAAGTAACATTGGAAGAAATCCAGGATTTCTGATGTGAACACCTGTAGTTATAAAAATACCCTTTTATAAAATGTGAAAGAGTAGGACAAGAGTAAGTTTAAATGAGGAAATTGAGTTCATTTTTAACTGGTGATAATAGCTCAGTTAGTAGAGAGCTTGCCTTGCATGCTCAAAGCCCTGGGTTCAATCCCTAGCACCACCAAAAAAAAAAAAAAAAAGTATCAGTGGAGTTAATTTTTAGACACATTAAACACAAGATGGTTTTTAAACAACAAGGCAGATAAGTAGGCAAGTAGGAAGTATGTTTTATAAATCCTTAGATTAGAAGAAAGGGTTGGAGCAGTGACTTTCGGGAGCCATCAACAGGAAATCACATTTAAAATCATAAGACTTAATAAGATTGGGATTTCTCTGCCAGTTTATGACAGGTCTATGATATACAGAGGCATTTTTTCTTTATCTTCATCACTTGACAATAATCCATGCACACACATATGAGTGATAAAATATATTCTCAATGAACATTTAAAAAATGAGTATGTGCATAAGTAAATTGAAATAAGAAGAGGGTCAATAGTCTGGAAGAATGAGATTAACAAAGCCGATCTCTAACTCAGTTTGAAAAACCCATTTAAAGGGCTTTAACCAGATGACAACACAGGGTTTTAACCATCTGACCCTATAAATGCATGGCTTTTTTCCCCAAAGTGTAATAACATTGACCTATTGACACAAATTTTGACACCAATCTTCACTTTCCTTAAAAGGACAACTAAAGGACCCCACCCCATGGAGCCTTTTAAAATGGTCTATGATATCTTTAGCTGGTAGAAAAGAATGCCATTAACTCATTGAAATCCTTTATATTATTTAAACAGACAATAGCTACTTGCTTTTTTTTTTAAACAAATGACATCTAAAATACTTTCTCTTTAATTACAGCAAAAGGAAATTGTTTCATTGGAAGTGTAACTTCGGGAATTTGCTTACTCCCATTTTGGGTGCAGGAGGTATCAGGGATTGAACTCAGGAGCACCTGACCACTGAGCCATATCCCCAGCCCTATTTTGTATTTTATTTAGAGACAGGGTCTCACTGAGTTATAGGGTCTCCCTGAGTTGCTTAGCATCTCACTTTTATTGAGGCTGGTTTTGAACTCCCAATCCTCCTGCCTCAGCAACTCCAGCCACTAAGATTATTGGTGAACGCTAACACGTTCACTTATTCCCATTTTTAAGTCATGTGGACGATGAATTATTCCCATTAGAGAGACCTAAAGGGCAAAAGGTAACCTCAGTGCAGAAAAGAAATTGAAAGAACATTCTGTGAGGAAAATAGGGGCAAAAGAAAACACCTTTAAGCAGAATGAATTTCACTGACAGCACTGTAACATGGATTTGACAAGGGCCATCAGGCTAAGAACAGATAGGACATAAAGAAGAGTGGGAGAGTAGAGGGGCCTGCAGTTGCTTACACTGCATATTTTGGAAGAAGAGAATTAGTTAATGACCTATAGACAGGGAAAAAAAAGCATATTTGAATTAAGTCCACACAAAATTTCTGGGATGAATTGTACAAGTAAGATAAAGTTAACTTATCTCACTTGCTTCCTCTTTCTTTCATTATTTTAAGAAAGTAATTAAGCAACCTTGATCACATTTTATGATGGTACATGGGAGGAGAAAGTGCAGATGGCAGTAAAAGAATGAGAAAGTCATTTTACTGAACTCTTTCCTGAAGCTGCTTTAACAGTCCCAAGATCATAGCCCCTGTATTTGATTTGGATCACTTTGGATATATGTGTTTCTACTCATTACAGTTTGCGGTAGTCTCATGCTTTCTGATTCACTAGGTTAATCTATTTAGGAGAAAAACTGTTATGATAGTTTTTAATGATAAATAGTGTTTTATTTCCTTCTTCAGTGATGATTCGAGTTATGTCTCTGGATGATTATTTGAAGCCTGTTGAGGAAATGGTAAGTTATACTTGGAAATATGTTGAGCATATACATAGTTCTGTTTCTTACCTTATAAAATTAATCTATGAAAAAAAAGAGATCAGACTTAAATTGTTAGTTCTGTGTTCCCATTAGTCAGTCTATGACCCATGGTGTTCCTCACTTAGAATTATAATACTTCTTCTTCTCCCTCATCCTCCACTTCTCCTTCTCCCCCTACTCTTCCTCCTTCTTTCCTCTCTCCCTCCTGTTCATCCTCTTCCTCCTTTTTCTTCTCCTCTCTCTCTGTATCTCTCCCTTCCCCCTCTCTCTTTCTCCCTTTCCCTCGCCTCCCTCCCCCCTCTCCCCCTCTCCCTCTTCCTTCTCCCTCTGTGTCTCTCTCTTTGATCAACAAAATAAATATATTTTCCAATTTTAATCAGAATTCTATAATTTACTGAACTCCCACCACTATAAAGCACTGTGCTACGTAAACTGTTATCCAAAGATAGAGAAGATATAAATCATTGATTCCTCCCAAATGATTACATTAGAACTGAGTTTGTTGGGAAGAAGAAAAATTACCATAAGGAAAGTGGCATTAAAAACATAAAAGAAAATGAATCATTGTATCCTTGGCATCTGGAAGAAAAGAATATGGCAGATCATAGGTTTTAAAATTATATAGTGGGTAAATTCTGTATTGAGTGAATGAGTATTATACAGCATGAATAACATTGTATAATGCTTGCATGAATGAATTTATAATGTCTGAATGAAAGCATTATGGTTGCTTCATATTTTAAATTATCAAGAATGTTAAGTGAGTCTGCTTTAATAGTCCCAAGATCTTAGTCCCTATATCAAGAGAAGCATTAATTTAAGTCATTTCCTCAGAATCAGATTCTGAGACAGAGAAAAATGAAAGAATAAATTATTAAGGAAGTGCTTCAAGAGAATTCAATATGGGAGTTGTGGGAAGCAGGACAGTGTGAAGGAAGAAGCCAAGCATGTGTGCAACTGGTTTCAGGCTAAGTCATCAGCCTGATGGGCAGGAAGCTCCAGAACACATGTTATAATTCAGTGTTTGTTCCATTTTTAGAAATATTTTCATATTTCAGCACCAGACACTTGTTGGTTGGGGCAGTCCCCTATGTAGAAATAACCTCCCAGGAACTTGCCAAGAGGCCCAATGACAGGGCTCTCAAGAAGTTCAAAATTAAATGCTGCTAGTAGGAACAGAGCTCAGGGAAATTGGGGCTGGGTGCAAAGAACCAGAAAAAGTGATCTGATAGAGAGCATTGGCTACATCAGGTGTCAGGGAGAGGTGAAGCTAAGCCACTCCTTAAAAAACAGATGATCCAATGGTTAAATTAGGGATAGTAAGATATTTAGAAAGGGATTCGTGAGAACTAGCCATTCTGTTGTGGTGTCCCACATTGACTCATCGACTGAGCAGTTACATCAAAGCTTGTTAAGCTTATAGAAGCTAAATAGATGGTTTCTCTGTAGGTTGACTATTTCTTTCTCCTTCCAAATAATCCTCATCCTTAAATAGTTAAGACATCATCTCTTTTAATGAACATCTTTTTTCCCCATTTCCTATAGCTACAGTAATCTTGTAGAATTGCTTCTTATTTTTTAACTTCTAGAACATATACCTATTTTGAATGCTAAAAATTCTTTTAGTAATTTCAATCCTAAATCACTTCTAGGAGACACCAAATGCTCCCTGTTCTCCTTGGTTCAAGGTTGAAAGTCATTTTGTTTTTAAGTATGCTTTTCTTTTCTTTAAACAAAGCAGCAAATATTTCTACTGTAATCATTGAGTCAAACATAACTAGCCTTGACTAGGAGGACCATGGGAAAGTGCAGGGTCCCCTGAAAATCTGAGGGTCTCCCTTGTTAGGATCTTCTACCAGTATTGTTTGTTTTTATTGTCAATAAAACCAAATATTATCATCTTATTTCCACATTTAGTAATTATTGCATTTACACGAAGCAAATAGAATCAAATAATTCTTCTTCAAATATTGGTCACAGAAAATAATATCATTTGTATCAGTCACTTCTGGGAAAGATTCTATGGCATAGCAAAGAAGATTTACTTTTGTACCGAGATCAAAATTAATGTAGCCTTTCCAAAAATGGTAATGATTTGAAGATTACATTTTGTGTATTTTCAGACCAATATTTCTAAGGTCAACCACTGTTTCAGTATCATATTCCATTTAAATAAGTGACTCAATATATGGTTCCTTCTACAAGATCAGGAATTCATAGTAATTTTGATGACAATTACCAAAACATAGTAGTGATATAATTATCAAACGGACAAAGATATAGAGCATGCACCTAATTTCTCCTTCCCAGTCTTCTTTCCCTTCATTCAGAAGGTGACATGAAGATGGTCTTGGTCCTGGGCTGGTTGTGCAGATTAATTTTTTACTAGAGAAGATTCAACTCCATTTCAATCTTTGTTTTTGAAGAAAACTAGCATCTTAGAACAATGATATTATACTTTTACTTGATTTTTGCATACTAGTTTTGTGAAGTACTCTATCCTTAGTAAAAACTAGACAAAGTAATAAAGATTTTAAATATTAAACACAATGAAAATCATCTGCACTGGAAGCATCACAAATAGTTTTTAAAAAAGAGATAGTACTCTAACTTTGACCCTCATTATTAGAATTTGGTCCAAGTGGTCAACCTCTCCCTATGCCACCTATGGATAAGAGTTATTTATTTCTCTCCTGTGAGGAGTCCCATGAGAAGATCTGTATCCCTTAATGTTTGAGTTAATAACACATAGTAGTTATCTTCAACACCATCTTGACATTTCATCAAAGAAACCCATTTTATGATTCTATAATACAAATAGATACCCCAATTCTGCTCCTTTATTTTTCAGTTCTAAGAATTCCAAAAGCTATGGATCCTGTTTGTATTTCTCTACATGTATGTTTTATCATTTTATTAGATTTATCATGTTTTACAGTTTGTAGGGAGTAGCACTTTGTTTTGAGGGGTGAGTAAAGAAGCTTAGGTAGCTGTTTTAACTTACCCCTTAGCCTGTTCACATCTGTCCCATGGATTCTAAATTACAGGCTTCTTAGTTTTAGTGTCCTGAGAGATTGCACTAAGAGATGAAAAGCAAACGGTTGACTTTGTGGGTCTAGGGGGGCAGAGAATGGTATGCACTAGTGAGAACTGCGGGGCTGTGCAAACAGATGCAGGAAGGCAAAGGAGAGAAGACCCCGGGGCCAGATTTAAAACAAATGCCTAAGATTATTTACTCAACTTATACAGAAAAAAAAGCATAAAGAAAAATTAAAAATTTAAGATAAATAATATAAAACTTAAATGATCAAAGTATTTCAGAAGTCAACCAGCAGTGTAAAACATTGTCACTGCTAGATTGAAGACTGGCCATGGATTGTCCATAAGGAAGTAAATCATAAGGTCAGAGAAGTCTTTTTATTATGTTGGAAAGACCTAAGAACAGGATTGCTTGCTGAGAATGCAAGGTGTGCATTTGTGAAAGCAAGAAGTCAATGAAAATTCTTGGAAACTATGAGACAGATTCAATATACATAATAGACATTCAAACTTTCAGTCAGGAATTAATACTTGAGTTTTCTTAAATTATCTGCTTATGTATACTTACTTATTCAATAATAGTTTTATAATTAATCTCTGTACTCAGTGATTAAAATCAATCTTGAGAGTTCATATATTAACATTATTTTATTTTTATTTCAGTATCCAGTAATCACCCTCAAGGTAAGGTAACTGCAAGTTTAAGAGGGTTAATTTTCCACCTCCGTTTTAGAGCATCTCCTCAAACCTCAGTATTAAAAGGCAGTTGGCGGGGAACATTATCTATTTAAATTGGTAAGATATTATTTAGTTTGTGTAGCCATCCTCAAGAGAATAGAAATAAGTTATTTTCCTTCTCTTTGATTTAAATTCACATCTATTTTTTAATATGACAGGAAGCCAGTATAATTCATTTAACACTTATTGAATGTGTCTAAAAGTGCACTGGGGTCAAAATGTAGTTCACCTATAAGAACTGAAATTTTGATGCAGAAAACAGCTGTAACAAAATAATAATTCTAGAGATATGATAATTGAATCCCCAGTACTGCAAAAATAAATAAATAAATACAGACATAAAAATATACTAAATGCTCTGATATATAGAGATATGAATCCATTCAAAACAACAATCATTTCTCCATGGTGAATCATTTAAAACTTGTGTTTTAAATCAGCAGATTAGCATTTTAAGAACTAGGAAGTTACTTGATGAAACGTTATGATGAATGAAAAATCCAAAATGCAACACAATATACGTTATTCCTCCTCAGGACCCACAGGGTAATCAGATACAACGGTGGGTTAATGAAAAGGCTGTGAAAGGCGTGCTACCACTCTCCTTCCAGTTAATCCCGGAGTCCATCCTAGGATGGTATGAGATCACCGTGGAGATGGGCTCTGGAAACAAAGAATACCACTATTTCTCTGTGGAAGAATATGGTAAACATGCGGCTACAAAAATATGATATATTAATAAGAAAACATGTAAAACTATCCATTTTTCCGAAGGCCTGTACTTAGTAATTGTGCATCTCTGAAGCTTTCCTCTTAATCGTCACACATTTTTCTGTTGACCTAGGATGTCTATTCTATTTTTCTTTCGTGATGTCTAGAACTGAGTTAATATGATGGTTTCACTTTCTTTTTTGGCCATATTTATGCTTTGAAGCACTTTTTATAAAAAAAAAAAAAAAAGGAATTCACATTAGCTATGTAAGGAGGAGTGCTGCTTGTAGGATTTCAGTAAATCATCATAAAATTTCATAATGATATCATAATTCTCATTTTACAGATGAAGACATTGAGAAACACTTACCCCAAATCAATATTTCAGAAGTTATGGATTTGGAATGCACGCCCGCATTTTCCTATTCAATTTCAAAGTCCAGCCCTATGTACTTCTGCATCTTCCTAACACTCTTAATTAACAACAAATATTGGCAAAGAACCATGGATTATAAAAGGGGAAAATTGCTTTATATGAATGCCTTTATATAATGCCTTATAAGGTTGCCTTTTTTCTTTTTACGAACAGTGTTACCCAAATTTCAAATGACTGTGGATGCACCAGGAAACATCTTAATTGTGGACTCTGAATTCAAAGTTAATGTCTGTGCCTCGTAAGTACAAATTGTACACAATAAAATGATGTATTAATGGAAATAGAATAGAGTACAAAAGGTAGCTAAAAAGAAGCACAATAAAAAATGATGGAAGACAAAGGAAAAGGACAATATAAAATTACCTTGCTGATTTTACTTCAAATAATGTTAAATATAATTACATCAATAATTATTGGAATATGACACATGTTAAGTAACAGTTTGACTACTGATTATTGTCTTACAACATAACACATTGTTTTATACCATCCAATGCAGTATCTACTGAGTGCCCCTTTGTGGGTAATTATATTCCAAAATTAAATAAAATTAAACATTCCAATCCCTCAGTTGCACTAGCCACATTACATGTAACCAGTTGATGCTGATTTGGATAGTGTGAATGTACAATGTCATAAGAACTAGGAAGTTACTTGATGAAACATTATGATGAATGAAAAATCCAAAATGCAACACATTAATGTACTCCCACATTAATGTATATTCAAGCATACTTTACACATCCTAATATTGCACCAAACACAATGTAGTAATAAATGACTTTTAGATAATACTGGCATGATTTAAGAGGGAGGGGAAAGCTTCACATAATGGTTGCACCCCAGTATTTTTTTAAAAAAATACCATAAAATCTGCAGTGATTATGTGGTTGATATATGGAATTCCCATTTCAAGAGAGCTCTGCTGGTATTATCATGTGTTTACTCTGACTTCTTGATGAAAGTTCTTCTTATATTACATGATTAGAGAAGAAAAACATAGGTCAAAATGTATCATAAAGAAAACTGCCATAAGATCTCAAATTGCTCCTGGGCAATCCTGGTACAATGTGTGGAGAATATCAAGGGCAGACAAGGACTTGGAGGGCACATAACAAGATGCTCAGTTAGTATATGGCAGTGGTAATAGCCAGACAGTTCAAGTAATTTTCTCCCTCCCTTTGCCACTAAATAAACAGTTGGCAGAAATTTCATAACTAGCAAAGACAGCAAGAATGCAAATATCAATTTATATTATAACCTGTAATTTCTAATTATAAACAGAGTTTCTGCTTGTGTTCACCCTACACTGGAAATTTAGGATGGTAAAGAAGGGATGTGGCTATCTTGAGTGTAACCTCCAGAGTGGGAGGAGAAATAAAGGTCAGGAAAGTTTCACTGTACTTGGATTATAGAGGCAGACAAGTACCAGGCAAGTACCTGTGAGAAATGGAAATCCTAAGAGCCCAGATGTCCTGTGATTCTTGTCTGTGTCATTTTTGCTGGAGAAACATTGCAATTAAGTGTGATAAGGCTCTCTGGGAAAAGCCAACTGGAAAGCATAAAACATAAGTATAAATGAGTAAGTAGTTGAAGATTCTAACAATTTTAAATCCTAGCATTAAGCTAAAAAATTGAGCAATTTATACCTGGAAAAATAATTGAAGATCATCCATAATAAAAGCTTAGAAATAAATATGACTGAGTCAATAGTGTACCTTTAAAATTAACCATATTGATTGATACAGTAAGAATATATAATATGTATGTATATATACTGACTGAAAGAATGGATGGTGCTGAAGGGAGAATTAGTGACTTGGAAAATGAAATTGAGGAATTATAAAATGTAGTCCAGAGGCTCTACCATTATTTCTTATAGACAATTTTGTTCTTTTAAACCTATTACTTGAATTTTTAATAATGATAATTTATTTGTGTACTTAGATATAAATAAAAATAAATATAATTTGTTTTAAAAGTTTAGTCCATAAGAATAATAAATGCTCATATACAATATTTTTGAAACACAAAAAAGCTAAAAGAAGTAAAGTACTATCCTAAGAAATGAAACAATCAATGATCTTGTATACCTTTCCCTTATTATTATTTTTTTCATTTATACTGTATTTTAGTGACTTACATAAATTAGTTCTACATGTTGTCTAGTTTGACCATTTTAATTAAAATATATGTTGGCCCAAAGTCATCAGTTTAGTTTTAGTCAATACCATTGTTTAGATTTACTCCAGAAAATAAAATGTAAGATAACTTGTTGTGGCAGTGGTGGTTTTAGGCACTATAAATCTTTCAAACAATTCTATGCAAACTAATTATACCATTGGATTTTATGGTTGTATTCTTGTTATATCATTTTATTAGATACACCTATGGCAAACCAGTGGAGGGGAAAGTTCACCTTAGTGTATGCAGGGCATCTACTTTTTATGGTACTTGTGGACCTCTCAATTCACTCTGTAAAAATTTTACTCTTCAGGTAAGAGGCACATCTGCAAAATCATAAATAACTGTGCATTAACCTTATGACCTCAGCTTCCATTTACCTTCCTTTCTTCTTGTTTCTCTCTTTAGAATTAAAAATTATACTTCTCTTCTATATACCTATTTCCATTTTTAAAATTTCTATTGTTTTTTCTTGCTAACTTCTCATGTTCTATTAAATGACAAAACACAGGTTGTATTACTGGAAAGCTCTGGAGTAAATTTCTATTAATTAAAAATGAATTTGGTTCCATATCAAAATCTATACTCTAACAATGTACTACATGGGATATATCTTTCACTTTATACTTTCTAGATATAGTCAGGGAGATATGAAGATGTTCATGTGTCTTCAAGATTATTAGATGGGTGATTTTTTTTCTCAATCTTTTCTCATTGGAGTTGGGTGTTTACAGAATTTCCAGATGGTACATATAACAGGCGAAATTCTTATCTGCTAACAAGAGGAATTAACTTTTCCAAACTCCTAAGGGGAGGAATTTCCTGAAAAGATTCAAGTAAACCTTGAGAACCAGCATCAGAAAATTGAACCAACAAAGCTAGGATATGGCAAGGACTTCAATTATAATTATGCCAGAGTTTGACTTGTTAATACACAACTGCTACTTACATTTCTGTATCACAAATAGCAGCACACCCACACACATGTACTATACATACACACACGTTATATATTTCTATTATTTATAGAGAAGAATTTTTGTTAAAAATAATTGTGAATCCTCTGGTTCTTAAGTTTAAAAGTTGAATTTGAACAATAAACAATAAAAACAGTAATAATTATAATAGCCAACATATTATGGTTGTGTCAAATGCTAGGATTAAGTAGTTCATATACATTTAACTATTAAAAGAACTGTATATGTATAGTACTGTTATTATCACTCATCTGCAGATGAATGGATTAAAGTAGGGAGAAGCTTAAGTATATTGCATGATGTCAAATGTATATATTAGTAGCATTGCTATATCCTTAGGCATTTCAGAGGCTACAGAATTTTCTCCATTTATTTATTCAATATTGAGTTCCTTTAATAATTAAATATTATTGTGTTTAGAAGCTCCAGTGTTAAACCACACAGACCTGGTCCTGTCCTCATGGGGCTTGCTTTTTATGAAGTGGTCATTATATTTATTAGATGCACACTCAGGAAAAAGAATGAACCAATATAAGCCAAGAACATGGGGGTGGATAGATCCCAAAATGAATTACAAAGAAGCTTATGTTATGTAGATTCCCTTCAAAAGATTTGAGAGATATTTAAATTTAAAATACAGCAGGAGTGTAGCCTAAATGATTTACCTGACTGCTAACCTTTAACTCTAATGAAATTTACCTGGACCTTTAAGATTGTGGAACTGTCTTGAGGATTTCATTGAGTTTCAGGGGCCCTGAGAAGCAGCATATGATTCTGGTTTGGTATTATTTCTCTTGTTTTGGTGGTGCTATGGGTCCAACACAGGGCCTCACATATGCTGAGTATAAAATGGCATAGGATTTTAACCTGCCACTCAAGGACCCAGTTTCCTGATCTCAAGATGAAGGAGTACAACAGCAGCTCAGTTGTCCTGCAATAATCTACTAATCTATGAACACATTTCATCACCAACCTAAATATCTTTTAAATATTTTCAATTCTTTCTGTTTAACCATTTCCTAATTATGACATTTTAAAAAGTCCCCAATGAGGCATTCTAAGTTGACCAAATAGACATTGAGACAAATTCAAAGAATCTAATAAGAATAATACCTACCATTTACTAAATGTTCACTAAGTACCAGGCACTATGCTAACCACTTTACAGCAATATGGCTGTAACATCTTGCTTTATACCAAGTAGTAAGTGATAGAACCAATATTAAAATCCCAGTGTTTGACTCAAAAGCCTATGTCCTTAACTGCCATATAAATTTTAATTCAATAAATATTCAAGGCATAGTAACTACAAAACATAAAACACAGTTTCAAAACTGAAAAGGAATATGGTTGAAATTAACAAAATCGCAATATCACATCTGAGTAAATGTGATCAGATTTAGATGTGTTAGCTTATAGATTAACAAAGTAATACCGCCAGGAGTGTTCTGTTTAACTCATATTCTCTTTAACTCAGAATTGTGAGAGTTGATATTTGTTAACAATTCAAATGAAGTCAGAGTTAAATACATGAACTGAAATTTTGAAGCATATAAACACAATGAATTATTTTATAAAGTTCAAATTTGAGTAAAACATTTCTCTTAATGTTGCTTCCTGTAGGTTACATATTTTTTTCCAAAACTGGTATTTCTTATAGTCTTTAAAATTTGACTTATCTTTTATTATTACATTCATTAATGTTTCAGATGGGGAAAGATGGCTGTGTCTCCCAGCTTATTAACACAGATGCTTTTGAGTTAAACCGGGAAGGATATCAGAGTTACTTTAAAGTATACGTTCTTGTCACAGAAAGTGGAACAGGTAATGCTCCTTAAACAGTAAGACCCCAGTGGATAACATTTTCCTATTTGAACTATTATCTACTAAGGTTAATTTCACAATGTTAATATGATAATATAGTCATTTTTTGCATAGGATATGTTACCATTTTTTTTAGATCCAAACTCTGTTTCTTATTTTAACCATAAGGTTTTAGACACCTATTGATGGATGGATAAATATTACTTTCAAATGAGACTAAAGTAGAATTCAGAATGCTAGTGTATTAGCATATAAAGGGAAGATATGTTTTGAATATTGGTATATTCCCTTTCCTTAATCATTGCAATATGTAACTGAGAAATATAGTGGTTGATTGCAAAATTTTGGGGGGAGCATAGAATCGAAACAAGGGAAGTAGAATATAGTTTTTTGAGAATATCACCAAACTTCTGAAAAGAAATTCAATGAAATATCTTTAACCCACAACCAGGAATATATTTCTAATGACTAATTTTTTATCTCTCTGATGCAGTATATTTCTCTCTCTTCATTAAATTCTTTTTCTTGAAATGGTCCTGTTCTGACCATTTCCTTTCTGTTAAAATAGACTTTCTTTAATTCACCTATGTGATATTTCAGTAAAAATTTCTGTCCATGATATCTTAAATACTAATATGCTTCAATCCATATTCAAAGTTTTAGAGATATCTGTCACATCCATGTCACAGGAAATCCATGTCCTGTGACACATCTGTCACAGGAAATTCAAGTAATAAATAAAAATTTAATGGATAATTAAATATATTTGTCACATTAAACAAAATAAATAATGAAAGGTAGCTAACTAAATGATAACATACATTTATGGCTGCAATGTTATACAGTCATTAAAAGAACTAGGTTTTTAGAAAAGTATCAAAACCTCAAAATAATGTTTAAAAACATAATGTCAAACTACATATTTTTTACAATGCAGATACACATATGTATTTACACACATTTATAATCCCAACTGCATTATTATAAATGATAATTTAAAGGATAAAAAAACTTGCAGAAAATAGTCTAACTTGTTAAATTTTGTTTTCTTTGGCATGTTTAAAAATTTGCATTATCTTCTTAAAATTTTTAAATTTCTAATAATATACATATATTACCTTTCTTACTATGAATAGATTAAAATGTATGTTTTAAGCAGGAAGATTGTGAAATAAAAGTTTCAAACCATTACTGATGAATAATAAGAAAACAACTGGGCATAGTGGCACAAGCCTATAATCGCAAAGGCTTGAGAGGCTAAGGCGGGAGGATCCAGAATTCAAAGCCATCCTCAGCAAAAGTGAGGTACTAAGCAACTCAGTGAAACCCTGTCCATAAATAAAATACAAAATAGGGCTGGGGATGTGGCTCAGTGGTCGAGTGCCCCTGAGTTCAATCCCCAGTACCCCCCAAAAGAAAAAAGAATAATCAGAAATCAGTGATGTTAATCCATCATGAAAGACTAATAAATGAATTGAACAGTGTATAAAGACCAAGAGTACTGGTCAAGAATGATAAGCTTTTTTGATTTTTCCCATCTTTATTAATTTACTTTACAAAACTTCTGAAAAAAATAACATGTATTAAAACTGCATAGAAAAAGTGAACTATTATAAAGAATAGGACATTTTGAGATTTTTTTCTATAGTTCGGTTTGGCTATATTTTGAGGATATTTTCCTAATAATACTTAATTTACTGCAGGTATTCAGCTTACAAAATTCATGTATATAAACATAGACTCATCAATGGTGAAGATTAGATTTGAAAATATGGAGACAATCTACAAACAGGGACTCCCTTATTTGGGCCAGGTAAGAAAAGTGATAACTTCTTTACTTTCTCATTCATTTATTCTCTCATCTATCTTTCACTTATTTGTTCATTCATTCATTCATCTATCCAATAGCTCTTTTCTGAGAAATTACAATATTAGAAACTCTGTGTTAAGCACTGTAGGATGATTTATTCTATTAGTTTTCAGAGACCCGTCTTGGTTTATGCCTTTTATGAAGTGGTAACTGTTAACGCTGTCCCATTTCACACACAAGTGTCCATGATTGAAAAATAAATTGTTTATTCTGCATCAGAATTAGGATTAAAAAAATAAAAGCACTACTATTTGCCCTTGAGGGTTTTATAGCTCACAGAAAATAGACATTAAACAAATAATTTTATAAACAATGAATGAACTATAGTCATGGGTGCTCTGTCAGTGAAATACTGACCATTTAGTAACTGTTCTACATTAGGGAATTAGCAAACCATACTCCTTGGGCAAAAGCCAACAGAGTCCTACCTTTCTATAGCCAGTGATTTGGAGTGGTTTATCATTTTTTAAAGATTATAAAAACAACCAAAGGACGTGAGAAAGAAACAATATTTGGCCCCATAAAGTTTACCATATTTATTATATGATCCTTTATAGAAAATTTGCTAAACTCTGGACTAAATAGTCATAGAAAGTTTCTCTAAGGAAGTGATATTTAAGTTGATACAAGAACACTAATAAAGTATTGCAAAAGTGAGTTACTGGACTAGATCTTACAGAGAAGTTTTTCTCAAACTTGATCCTGTGTCAGAATCACCCAGAGGGCTTGGGAAACAAATGTCAGTAACAGCCATTTTATGAATAAATTTAGATTAAAGTTTGGCTTTGGCAAATAGATAATTTAATATATGATAATTTCATTTACTAAGCAGCCATTGAGTATATGCTAACAATTTTTCTCCCCTTTATCTCAATGCATTTTTGTTTGAAATGTTTCCATGTTCTGTTACTTAATATGTAAAGTTGAGGATTATTATACCTTCAAGGAATAAAATTATTTTCCAAATATGAAATAATTTTCTCTGGACTGGTGAGTTTCCCTCAAACATTTTCATCAAACTCAAATGATTTCCAATGATTTCCTGGGTTCCTCTTCGTCTCTTACATCTTTTCAGTTCCATTTAAAAGCATATTCTATTAAAAGAACATTTTGTGAGAAAATGATATATTTTTAGCATCTTTTGTATACTTAAGTTTCTGGAGTATTGTTTAATAGTTTGTTTTTTTTAATTGGCTTAAATCTCCAAATTGAAGATCAAATATAATAGCAGACTTTTTGTCACGTTATGCATTTTGAGGAATCCATTTTTAAAAATCTAATCTTCCGGGCTGGGGATGTGGCTCAAGCAGTAGCGTGCTCACCTGGCATGCGTGTGGCCCGGGTTAGATCCTCAAAGATGTTGTATCCGCCGAAAACTAAAAATAAATATTAAAAAAAAAATTCTCTCTCTCTCTCTCTCTCTCTCTCTCTCTTTAAAAAAAAAAAATTTAACTTCCAGGCTTCTAAACACAAGAATTTTGTAAAATAAATTCTCAAGTCAAAGAATCTCCTTGTTTAAGTTTAACGAGAGCTCTCAGTAGTTTTGATTTTAGATGTTCTCTTTCTCTTAAGTAATTTTGTTATTGTGTGTGTGTGTGTGTGTGTGTGTGTGTGTATGTATTTCACATTAAATCTAGGCTTTGAAATTATTTATATTAACATTTCTAATATTCACTTATGATTTGAAGAAATAAGTCTACCACAACTTATTTTTCATTTTCTATTCCTAGTCTTGTGGGTTTTTTCCTCCACTAGTTGTTGGCTTTCTTATTTATCTTTATTTTTATTTTATTTTAAATAACATTTTACTATCATTCAATTTTATTATAACCTTTCTTCTTTGGATTTTATTCCTAACTTCTTGCTATGATTACTAAGGTTAAACTTTCATGTTTTCAAATGTTTACATTTCTAAGTACTACTTTACTTTTCATAGGTGTTTTTCTGTGCTATTTTTAGTTTTGAAATTGTGGTAAAATACATGTTACATAAAAATTATTATCTAAGTCACTTTAAGTTTAGTTATAATTATTTTTCATGATTTTACAGCATGTATTTTCACTTTCTCTTTCACCTAAGAATGACTTAGGGTTTTAAATTTTTTTTGGTCTAATATGTGTGTTTGTGATTATACATTAAAAAAAATAAGTAAATTTTTCTGGGTGTGTGATCCACACCTGAAATTTCAGATACTAAAGAGGTGAGACAGGAGGATCACAAGTTCAACACCAGCATGGGCAACTTAGACCCTATCTTAAAATAAAAAATAAAAAGGTCTGGGAATGTAACTCAGTGATAGAGCACTTGCCTGGCATGCATGAGGCTCTGGGTTCCATCCCCTGTACCTCAAAAAAAGAAAAAAAATAATATTGATAAAACTATAAAGAACAGCTAGCACTTCCCCTTTAAGAGCTTTATGTCCTGAGCAGTTCTCTAGGAACAACTATTTTAACTCTTTCAGAGATTCCCACAAATATTAATCTTCATTAATATTAATAATATTAACTGTCACTTTGCAAAACAAAGGATGAAGAGCAAACCTTTTACACCTGCCCCATCACTTCTACACTCTGTGCCCCAATGAATTACATATTTCTAAGTAGACATTCAATTGTTATATTCTGTTAGTATGTGCATCTATTTTTCACAGGATAACCAATTTAGGATTCTAGGATTAAATCTCATTTGTGCAATATTGGGTTCTCCTTTGCTATTATTATGTACATGTCACTACTAATGTTCAAAAAGTTCTAAAATTATTCCCAAAGTTTTAATTATATGGTCAAAATGCACGTTACATCTATCATTCTTGATCCATCTGAATTGCTCTCTGTGTTTCTCAAAAGTAATTGTCATTCTCAAAGATAATTCCTCTGATATCTTGATACTTCCCTTTGCTTTTTCCAGCTTCAAATGTCCTGTTTTTTAAATTCCATTTCCTTGGTTTCCACATTAGTTCAATGGATCAAGCCCTCTAGGCTTCTTGAGCAAGGACAGATGGTATTTGGAGAAGGTTAAATATTCTGCATAATTTTTAATTATTGGTTGGACATTTTTGGAGTTTGAATTAAATATTTCTGCAATAATTATGGATTTGTTAACTTATTTTTGTCATTTCTGCCAATGTTTGATACATATACACACACAGACAGTGTTGAAATTTTTTTGTATCATGTATGTAGCCTTTTATCCCTATTGGTACATTTCACTTCTCCCATTCTGCTTTAATATTTTAAAAATCAGTTTTTGAGTATCACTTTTAATTCCTCTGTTTTTAACCTTCTGTATATTTTTATGTATGTTGATGATGAAGAGTATCTAGATGAATTTTCAAATACAATATAAAAATTTTCCTTATTAATAGGTTTAACCCATTTCTTCATTAATGCTGGTAGAGGTATATTTACTTCTACCATGTTATTTTTGTTTTCTATTCCCATAGAGTTTTTTTTCAACCGCCTCTCTTTTTTTTAACCTTGTCTTCTACTCAGTTCTTAAAATTTCTCCTTGTAAGTTTTTTCTTATTTCTTAAGTATTTAATACATTTAAATTTCTATTTCTATTTTTATCCTAAAATTTAAGTGTTTTTGAAATCTTAATTTTTTAATTTCCAATTTTACTGCCTATTATTTCACATTAGACTATTTTAATTCATAACCACATCTGCTTAATGCATAAACTTGTTTTTGACAATATTTCTAGATAGTTACATACATTTATCCTAAAATTCTTCTAAATTATTCTTATCTGGATTTCCTAAACTGCTGATAATAAAAATTTATGGGCATAAGAGGTTATGAATTGTCTTTTAAGATATATGTCAAGGATCTGTCACATTTTCTATTTTAGGCTCCCATGCAAATGGTTCAATTAATTAGAATCCTCAGATCATGAAATGATAACATAGAACATATCACTTATTTTATTTATATGTTTATTATTTCTCCTTTATCTTTAGTTCCTCCCCACTCCAATCTTAATTATTTACTCTAATATACTTACTTATATTCTTAAAATTCTATGTGTAGACCTTTCTCTAAAATATATCCTCTGCAGTGGAATTGCTGGGTCACCATCAGATACATGTAAAGTTTGACTAGCTATTGCCAAATTGCTCACAATAATAGTTACAAAGTCCCCAGGAGAGACTCAGAGGTCTCACATTCCAGCAGCTCCAATAGCACTGCATCATCACATCTCAACATTTAGCATCATCCAATTAATCAATTATCTTGATAATCCATTGGGCTTTAAAGTGATTTGTCATTATTGCTTGAGTTTGCATTTATCATTTTACTCATTTGCTTCACCATCCCCTCATTACCTATTAGTGATTTGAACCTTCTCTTTTGAGAACTGCCTGTTTCTATTGGTTTATCATATTTAAGGATACCTTGCTTATTCTAGATATTAGACTATTTTGCATTTGGGTATTAAAATGTATTCTGCTTTTTATGAATCTGATGACATTTTGTTAAAAAACGACAGGTGACTTTTGTTAAAAAATATTTCAAATATTTAAAATATTATAGAAAAAGTATATAAACCACCATGTACTATCACTCAAGTAAAACATTTATAAACTTATGCCAAACTTATTTTCTACATTCAGCTATCAAATTAAGCTTCCCTTTTAGATTATTATAGATGTATCAGTCCTTCTTTAAACACTTTATTATTTTTTTCTAAAATAAATGGGTTTTTTAAACCTATTACCTCAATTCCATTATTCCATCCAAAAACAGAATAGTACTTCCTGAAAAATCAAGTTTTAAACTCTCTAACTATAATTTTTAAGTATATTTTAAAGTTATTGTAACAGAGAAATAATGTATCTAAGCATAACAGGATAGAAATAAGATCCATAGATTCTATTGGTTAATGTGTCTCTTAGTTCTATTTAAAATTAAAAGGATCCTCTTTCTTTTTTCTTTTGTTTTCTTGAAATATGTTTATTAGGAAACTGTAATTTTTCCTGCAGATTTTTCTAGAGGCTGGATTTTTCTGATTGCATCTGCCAGTTATCATTTAACACTTTTCTCTGTCTCTTACATTTCCTGTACTCTGGTAGTTAGATTTAGGTGCTTTACCATATTGGAGTTCATTTTTGTGGAGGAAGTCAAGAAAACTTCATAGATATCATCATATATTTTTCACAGAACAGACTTTCTTATTGTGATGTTGGCAGCCATTGCCAATAATTGCTTAGATACATTATTTCTCTAGCCACTGTCTCATAGTCTTGGCACTATTTAAATTTTTGGTCAAATAATACTTTGCTGTGGATTGCATCCTGTGTATGGCAGATGTCTAGCAAGATCTCTGGCTTCTTGTTAAACGTCAGTAGCACAGGTCCCCTCCCCATTTGCTGCAGCTCAAAATGTCTCCAAACATTGCGAAATAGCTACTAGAGGGCAAAATACGTTAGCTAACAAATGAAGCATGATAGAGTTTTGTAAACTCTAGAATAATAATTCTCAACAAAGGGGAATTTGAGATACTTTTGAGCACATTATCTAAATGATATTATTTTATCTAAAAATTAATAATCATTCCCTAAAATTTACTTGTCAACCATGTTCTAAACTTAGCTCAGAGATTTTATTTATTTTTCTCCTACACAGGATCTGGGTCTGAAGGGCGTGTGTGTGTGTATGTTTGTGTGTGTGTTTAGAAGCTAAGCCTCAGCCTAGCTACTAAAGCCCAGGTCTTTACCATTCCTTCTCAAATGTTCTTAATTCCTGAAGGTATAACATCATCTCCCCCTATGATCAGGAACCCCAGGATATCTCTTCCTATAGGGAAGAATTAGGAAAACTAACTGAGGTGAGTCCTAACTTATTACAGGAGAGGGTGATAGGTGACAGCTACATGGCTCAGGAATCCTTGGCAAAGTAGTCTGTTCTACCATAATATGATGCAGCTGTTCAGTGTGGATATATTTTCTTCATTAGCATTTGAAAGAGTTAGTTCTTGGAAACTAACCTAAGAGCTCTCATCTCCTTGACTATTATAGGGGGACAGATGGCAGTCATAAACAGATATGACTAAGTCTTTTTTAAAAACTTTTTTTTTAGTCATATATGACAGTAGAATGCATTTTGAAATATAATACATACATGGAATGTACATACATTCATGTGTATGTATGGATACTACATGACTAAGTCTTAATAAATAAAATTGTTTTCATTAAAAAATATGGTTGTGTGAAGTTGTCTCTTCCGGATTTTTAGATATTTCTTAATGGCAAATGCTCTGATCACTCCCTGGGATGGGCTGGTAAAAATCAATCATTCCTTTTCTACTTTTTAGAAATTAAATGATTACTCTGTGATGCATACTGTAGTAGCTGCATTATTATAAATTACAAATGGCACATCTGGCTCTGCTTTGAGTATTAGAGAACTCCACACTTGGCTCAGCAATGTTAGGTGGTCCTTTGGATGGCAAGTTTATTACTAGTACTATTTCATCTTTGTGCTATCTGCTGTAAATTTCAAAACTTCAGAGATAAGGTTTCCAGAGGTATCTATATTTGAACATGAAAATGGAGCAATGGTGTGGGCTAACAGGATAATTTCTCCGTAAGTGACAGTAGTAGTGTTATCGGATGGCTAAAATGATAGTGCTTAAATATGTAAGACACATGACACATAGAGAGTGTCATGTGACACAAAGAGAGTGTTGCATGCCTTTTGCAAGCCTATTTCAAAGTAATGACAAAAAACGTCCCTAGGAAGCTTGTGGATTATTCCTTCTGTGACTAGAAAGGGCTCAAGGATCTTTCTTAAGTGTAACAAGATTAGAATAAATAAATGTCTGTGGGGATCATGGAAGCAGGGTATCATGTGTCAACGGCCTGTGGATCATAAGTTGAAACTTTTTATGAGGTCAAGCTATAAATTGATACTGAATTTAAAGGCCGTGTAAGTGGTGCAAGTGAGGCATGAGTCTACAAAAGCCAAACAGGGACTGAAATTAGACTTGAACCAATAGAAAAATAACAGGTGCCAGAAATATCAGGGCAGGTGTTTTTCAGAAACCACATGAGCTGAAAAAAGGGTTGCTGTAAAAAAAGGGTTTTCCCCCTGATATCTGTGGCCTTAGATGTTGTTAAGAAATGTGCACTTCAAGGTTCATGACTGGCACAGATATTCATGTAGGCGTTATATCTACTACAAACATGCCAGTTTCGTAAGGAACTTTGAAAAGCTAATATTGCCTGTACCAGTAAGACAATGAGAATGAGATTTCTAACTAATAAATGTGATTTAACAGCATTCCCTGAAATGTTTTAGGGAGAAAAATTCTGAGTTCTGAATTTTAGAGAATTTGACTTTATGCCACTATAAAGAAAGGATAGAAGCATTACAGAATACAGATTGGAGACATCAACGTATATGAGGAAAAAAAATAAGAAATTGATATAAGGCAGTAATGGTGAGAATGAATATGATAAATTATAAAGAAGAATTATAAAATTTTAAATTAAAAATATTTTATTAACAATTATAAATTGTAGGTTTGGTTTCAGTAGCTAATTGAAATAGGAGAAAAAGAAAAAAGAGAAAGTAAGTTGTAGCAATAAATCATGGCATTTTGAGGGTTTCTGTGATATTTTTATTATAAAACATTCAGTATACAATTATATATATGGACTTGAATTTCCAAAGATCTTTTTTGGAAGAAGAAATGGAGTTTAGATTGAACAAAATATTGATGGTATGCATCATGCAGTCAACAGGAATTGGAGCTACCTAGGAAGCACAAAAGGAGACATGTCCATGACACAGCTTGACAGTTTCATCAAAATTGATCCCCAAATTTATTAGATGCTTCAGAAATTGCTTTTCTTCCTCTTAAACAGATTAAATTGCTTCATCCTGACAACTCCCCCATCCCAAATGAAGCTATCCAATTGCACCTAAAGGACAAAATTGTGGGTAACTACACCACAGATACAAATGGCATTGCACAATTTTCCTTGGACACATCTAAGCTTACATACCCAAACATCACTTTGAAAGTAAGTTATCCAAAGGCAAGTAGAGAAAAACAAACAAGCAAAAGTATATTGGCTAACTAAGGTTTACATTTATGCTACATTTTATTTTTGGAATAGAAATGGGGGGGGAATCATGTTAGTTTGAATTTAGAGTGCTACAAAATGGTTAACTATTAAAGAAATAGTCTCTATAAAATAGATAACTATTTTACAAATCCTGAGAAAGTGCAGGCTAGCCTACACATTAAAGTATATAGAGGAAAATTAGCTGAAAATAAGCCACACTTCACTTTTATTGTTGAACTAGAAAGAGAATTGCATTTCTATAGAGGAAAATACTTGTAAAATCTTGTAATCTATTATCATGGATAATGTAAAGAATTTCTCTGCACACATTCAAGAGAGAAGCAACCTAGTATCTTAAATGATTTAGTAATGACTAAATGTCAAATTTTCCTAGATATTTTTAAAGGACCTCACAGACTTGTGTGTTTGGTAATTGACTATTGTTAGATTAATCTCCTTGCACTATTTGATAAAAAGTTTTTTTCACTTTTCAGAAAATTCCATTATGTTATTATTTTCAACATCAACTTATGTATGCATTCATATGTTCTTCATATAATATTGAAAGATACAGTGTATACATACTTGTAAAAACATCACTTTAGTACAGAGCATAGTAAAACAGTGTAATATTACTGAAACAGGATTTAAATAATAAATCATAAAAACAATATAGTGGTGATTCTAGAGTATAACTGGAAAGTTGGATTAGGGAATTCAGTCAGACTTAATGAAGAATGGGCCTGAAATTTTCCTTTAGAGATAGAGCACCATGATGAAAAACCATTTTAGCAATATTCTTTCACTTATCCTTTCTTTTTACCTTAAAATAACTAAATTTGATTTTTTGCCTAGGCAACCTACAAGGACAATGAAAATTGCAATGCACGGGGGTGGGTGTTGCCTCGTTACCCACAAGCAGAGTACTTTGTGACCCGATTCTACTCCAGGACTAATAGCTTCCTAAAGATTGTCCCAGAGATGGAAGAACTGAAGTGCAACCAGCAGAAGAAGGTGACAGTGCACTACCTTCTCAACACGGAAGACCTTGAAGACAAAATCTATACAGTAAACTTCAATTATTTGGTATGAACTGAAACATTCTGCCCAAACTAGAATTGCTTCTTGACTTCTTGACTTCTTTGAACCTAATGTAAATCCTTTGGCCTGAATATCATGAAAAAGGTCAAAGTAAACATAGAAGAAAAAATTTAACACAACTGAAGTTTTAAAGCTCCCATTTTAAATTAAAAAAATAAATAAATAAATAAAGAGGAACCAGACAGAGGATGTTACCCTAACCTTGATTCACTCCATCATCCTTGCCACTCTTCTTCATAGTTGCCCATTTTTTAAAATACTATCTCTCACTCACATTTTTCTTTCCTTCAGCATTTCCACAAACATTAAAGTATTTTGGACCAGTAAGTCTGGATGCCAAATTATCAGAATGGACACTATATAACTCCACACTAACCCTTAGCTAAGCTGGTGCAGGTGGAGGTACTGGTTGTGGAGAATAGGTCCTAGCAGGGCAGGGTGGGAACTCAGAGAAGTGACTCTACCAACCAGTACAGAAATTCTTCAACATTTCAACAGCAATATTGCCATATGGCTGTGCGAGGAATGTCAAAGAACCTTGGGTGAGAAGCTGAGCCTCTTAACTAGTCTGTACAATAACACTGAAATATCTCCCTGACTTTTGCGTCTCTCTTCCCTGCTGCCACGCCCTGCCCATCTCAGTATCCAATAGCTCCCACTCCAGAGGGAGCCCATTTTTAGGTCTGTGGGCAAATTGGTTTATTTCTCATTAGTTTCCCTCTTGAAACAGCTGAAGATCAACCCTTTCCTGCTCTGATAAATCTTTTATGATTACCTCTCCTGATTTCCATTTAAAATAGGAAGTTTGCCTTTCCCTTCCTTCCTTCCTTCCTCCCTTCCACCCACCCACCCTCCCTCCCTTCTTCCCTCCCTCCCTCCCTCCCTTCCTTCCTTCCTTCCTTCCTTCCTTCCTTCCTTCCTTCCTTTCTCCCTCCCTAAGTCTAAAAATCTAAAGTGATTGTTTTCCAGAGCCATTTGGGTTATTTCAATCTTCTAATAGAAATACATTCTATAGCTTCCTGTCTCTATTAAAACAGCCAGCCAGCCCTTCTCTTTTGCCTCCTGTAGGGCCTCGCACTAGCCAGCTGCATTCTGCCCTTTGGCCTTCTCTACTGCTGACTCATGAGCCTGTTGTTTTTAATGACAAGCCACATCTATCTCAGGAGCCTCTCTCAACTTTTTCCCATTTGTTGTTCATAACCTTCATCTTTCCCTTTTGCTGCCACTGCACCTGCACCACCTGTACCCCCTTTTTCTAGTTGATTCTTCCCATCATTTCTCACTCAGGTGAAGTGAACTTTCCTATTCTCACTGGTAATTCAAGTCTTACTATGTACACTTTCACAGTACATTATTGTTATCTATAGTCACTCTGCTGTCCAAAAGCACACTGGAATTATCACCCCTAACTATAACATTGTATTAATTGATTAACCTCTTGTCATCCCTTCCTCCTTCTTACTCACCCACCCTCTGGCCACCACCATTCTACTCTCAACTTCTATGAGATCAACATTTTTAGATTCCACCTGAGTGGTATCACACAATACTGGTCTTTCTGCGCCCAGCTTAATTCATTCAATGATCTCCATTTCCTTCCATGTAGCAATAACATGAAAGTCTCTTGATAATGCCTCTGTGAACTGTGTTCCATTAAAATAAATAAATTTAAGTATAATTCAGGAATTACAAATATGAATGAAGAGTTTTTCATTTGATCATAGGAACTGATTTGGAATATGTAACACTAAATTGTTTTATAGGAAATTTAACCATGAATCTTAAATTCTCTTGAAGATTGTTAATAGGATTGTATGCTCATATACTTGTATCCTGAGTTCACTGGTAAACATTTGCAGTTATGTTGTTCAGACAAGGAAAACAGAAAAATTGTGTAAGTTTATAATTAAGTGAAGTTTGGTTTCTATTTTATAAACTTTGTCATAATATTTTTTCTCCTAGGTTATTGCAAGAGGTGTAATTGTTCTTCATGGGCAACAGAAAATTGAGAAGAAAGATGCTTGTGAGACCTCTAATTTGAGCATGGGATTTTATGCAAATAGAACATTTTAGTTGGGGCATATTTTATATATATATATATATATTTTCAAGTCACAGCTTTCACATTTTAGGCCTTCTAACCCCAAATCACCCTTGGAGACCATGTAATACATAAAAATAGACAAAATATCAAAGAAAAATGATCAATTAATAAGTATTTATAAAGCTAACTATATTTAAAGCATCATATATGGGAGAGAGAAATTGTTCCTTCTCTTTCTCTTCCAGGAAATACAGTAAAGTATTTGTACACTCAAACAAGAAGGAATAAACAATGAAACAAAATAAAATTTTAGAGTTTGAGGTAATCAGAAATGTCCAACTAGTCCTTCCAGAGCAATTTATGAACTCCTTCTAAAAAGATTCCATAAATTAAATGTGTTAGATTGGGGGAATCTTATTCAGAGGCAGTGGGTGGGATGTCTAGGAACATTTCTGCAAGATGACAGTCGACTGTTTTACCAAGACACTTCTTCAGTTTAAGCTTTTCTTTCCCCAGCTATGAAGGGCGTATTTTCCATTCCTATAGATGTTAGTGCCCAGCTAGCTCCTTCTGCAGTTATGCTGGTCTATAGTTTGCATCCTGAAGGAGAAATGATTGCTGACACCACCCGATTCCAAATTGAGAAATGCTTCAAAAATGAGGTGAGGAAAAAAGAGCAAAAGACTCTTTTTCAGATTTGTTCAACTTATTGGAAAACTAAAATGAATTTGAAGTGCATTGGGCTTATAACCCATTTACTCTGAGTTTAAAATGAAATAAAAGCTAGAATGGTAGTTAATATGTTAGACAATCAAAAAGTATCAGGATTAGGCATTCACTTTGGATGTCATTCCTATCCTTCTAAGTTATTGGTGTCATTAGAAGAGTAAATCAGAGAACCCTTCCAACTTGTATGTTTGAAAATTAAAAATAGTCTGAAAGGTGATTCTTCCCAAGTGGTTTGCAATACCTTAACCCCCCCCCCCTTTTTGTTTTGTTTTTATTTTCAGGTCAACTTAAAATTTTCTAAAGAAAAAAGTTCACCAGGATCTACTATCAGTCTTCAAATCTCAGCTGCTTCAAATTCTCTTTGTGCTCTTTGGGCTATAGATCAAAGTGTATTGCTACTGGGGAATTATGGTCAGCTCTCAGCACAAAGCGTGAGTGAAATTACCTCTATTTATTACCAACTATATAGGGTTATGTTTTTACCTTTAGATATAAATGAGAAACTTTAAATAAACTACGGAACAAAGGAATTTTCTGGAATCCAAGGAAAAAATATTTCAGTTTAGAAATCAGGTCAAATGGACTTTATTTACTAATTATACATATTCTCTCATGCTAAAAGTTAGCTCTACCGCTTTTAAAAGTGAATTAAAAAAATTTTAAATATTATTTTTATCTTTTTAAAAATATATAATATATATGTATATATACTTCTGTATGTATGTATGGACATTCTTGTACTATTACTATTATATCTTTATTATAATTTTTGCTATCTGGTAGTGCTAATTTTCTAGTCTTAAAAATTATGTTCACTGCTATGATTTATTGGTTCTTTTATATGAATTTTAAGATCAAATTCTTATTCTCTGCTTAGAAAATGAACTGTTGCAAATTCTTAAAATAATTGCATTGAATATATATGTTTACTTAAGGAGAAGTAACTTCCATATGATCTTGAGATTCCCATCTCTAAATATGCCTTATCTTTTCATTTAATAAATATTGTTCAATCCAGCTTTAAAATATATATATAATATATATACATAACATATATATATATATATATATATATATATATATATATATATATATATAATATTTGCTGAATGTCTGCTGTTTGACACATACTATATTGAGTGTCTGGTATATGTTATATAATTTTATTCTCAAACAGAATTTATATAATATCCCCATTTTGACAAATGAATAATTTTAGGCTCAGGGAGATTTAACAAATTAACCAAGGGCATTATCTGACAATGTATTTTAATGAGCCATCAAAGAATATTGAGACTTCCCTTTATCTGGAAGTTATTAAAATCCAATTGAGTTTCACCTATTTTTGTTGATTTTATTTCAAAATGATTAAGCCAACCATTATTTAAGTGACTAAATATCATTTCAGTCTTTATAGCTCTTCTTCCCGGGTAACTATATGTTACTCATAAGAAAAAGAATTTTAAAAATTGCTTTTTTAAAAAATATATAATTGATTCTCTTCTATCACTCAGGTATATAATCAGTTAAATTACAGGGAACTATATGGCTATTATTTCAAAAGTTTGAACTTAGAAGATGGCCCAGTAGTGCCATGTCTGAAAAACGAACAAATCCTACATAAAGGAATTTATTATGAGCCTGCGTTGGCTGACTTTGGAAGAGATGCTTATGATCTTGTGAAGGTAAGATGACTAGCATTAAAATGTTGACTGCATGTGACAATATATAAATAAGTAGAATAAAAATAATAAATGTCCATTGTGTGAATTTTTAGTCCAAGAATTATCAGTCTAATCTATAATTAGTATTAATATCTGAGAAACTAATATTTCAAAAATATATTTATAAAAGAACTTATCATTATACATTTGTGATAAATGATAATATTACATGATATAATATTATAAATAATTGATAATGTCATAATATTGCTAAAAGAAAACTAATATCTCAGAGAATTATGTTTTATTGACACAGTGTTGTATGCATTTTATGCTGAGTCTCTAATATAAATACCCAAATATGTTGCTCCTACATCTGTGCCCCAAATTCAAATTCTTATGTTAAGTTATATACATTTTTGAAGTATTTACAAGTGAGATATTTTCCCTAGTCTAAGAAATATGTCAAATTCAAAACAGTGACAATATAGTGAAGTAGGAGATGAACTGGGGTCTGGCTAGTTTTTTAGTTTGTTTTCTGTCCTCTCTTATTTAAAGATTTTCCTCATTATCTGTTAATTAGGAAAACAAGACAAAGGTCATTAAATCTAAGAACCTAGGGTAATGGAAAACATAGACCTTAGAAAATAGCTCTCTCTAAATATATGACCAGTAGAGATGCAGAAATAAATAAGAGAAAGAAAGAAAAACATCATCAGTTTGAAAAAACTGATCAAAATGAGAGTCTGTACTGTCATATGATATAAAATTGATTTTTATCTTGAAAGGCAATAGGATTAAAAGTCTTCACCAACTCTCATCACCGGAAACCAGTGCTATGTGAGGATCTCAAACATCCAGGCTATGCTGATGAAAATTATTCAAGTGAGTTGTGATATAATGTAAAAGAGAGATGACAGCTTAACAGTCTTGTAATTCATCGAAACTGATCTAGGGCAAGGGGAGAGGATGTTGTTTTGTTCTGTCTTGTTTTATAATTAATTCAATAATTAATTCATAGCAAATGCTAGAAATATAGTGAGAATAAGGTAGGCAGATCTTTATATTCAAAGAGTTTAGACTGAATTTTGGATCATGATAATATATAAATGGCATAATTTCAGATGAACATAAGGGCCCTGATAGCTAATATTTATTGAATGGTTGCTATGTACCAAGCAATATTTTAAGCATTTTACATATATCAACCAATTTGCTCATCACAGGCTATAGATTAGAAACTGTTATCTCCAATTTGGTAGAGAGAAAATGAAGCAGAGGGAGGAGAAGTAGTTTACCCAATGCCACAGAGAATAAGTGATAGAGATGGGAGTGTGGTCCAGGCATTCTGGTCCCAAGTCATATTATATTATCATTATGTTGGACTCTTTTGAAAAAGTACTGTAAAGAAAATATAAGGGAAGAGAGCAGACCATGAGGATGCTGTTTTAAGTAAGGTAGTCAGCAAAACTCTCTATTAAGAGATAACCTTTGATCAGAAACCTGAAAATTTTCAAGTTCTATATAAAGAAATATCTGCAAATTTTAAATATGAAGACATGATAAAAAAGGAAAACAAGAAAAATACATAAAAATCTTATACAAAATTTTGCTAATAATTAGGAAAAATGATTAAAAGAACATCAAGAAATCAGTTCACATACATGCTAATAGCAAAAAGAAGAGAAAGAAAAGTCAGATAGCAATAACTGTACAAATGAACAAAATAGGAACACCCCACACACTACAGGAGGGAACCATAAGTCAGCACAGCCATATGTGGGTGAAAATCCTTAAACCAATATGCGTCTACCTTCTAACACAGCCATACACTTCTCAGCATATATACCAAAGGATTTTATTCAAATTCACAAGAAGCAAGAATGTTATGGGATATCTAGCCCATTGTTGTGTGTGCTGCCATAGAATGGAGACAACCCAAGGGGCTTTTACTAAAATGATGGATTAAAATCATGTGGTAACTACATGCTATGGAATATTTTATAGCATTAAGAAACAGGATGAAGGCTGGGAGCAGTGGCCACGCCTGTAATCCCAGGGGCTCCTGAGGCAGAGGCAGAAGGATCCAGAGTTCAAAGCCAGCCTCACAATTTAGCAAGGCGCTAAGCAACTCAGTGACACCCTGTCTCTAATAAAATACAAAACAGGGCTGGGGATGTGCCTCAGTGGTCTAGTGCCCCTGAGTTCAATCCCCAGTACTCTCTCTGCAAAAAGGAAAAAAGAAACAGCAGGGATGTGTTTTAAGACCAATTTTTATGTGGGGAAAAGTAAGAAACATAGTAACATCCAAATTATACTATCATTTGCCTTAGTGAAAAATAGATAAATATTTTTCAAAAATTTTCTATTTGTCAAGTATATATACATATCCAGTATATACATAAAATAACTAGAGTATTAGTGGAGGGAAGAGTTCCTCAGGAAAAAGACAGGGATGATGTTTAGATATTTATATATCATATGTACTAATAATATATTATTTTATGTTTACTTTCCAAGAAGTAGAAATATGGGCTAAAATTTGCAAATAGAAATAGACACAGATCATAGTCAGCATTCAAGATTATCTAGGTACATCTAAAATAAAGAATCAGGAGACTGTCTAGATGAAAGGCATTTTAAATTTAATATGTACACATGAAACTTCCCATAGAATATGTTCTCATGACTAAGAATTATAAACTTCTGAGCAATATGTATACTTTGAAAGACTATGAAAGTGAACAACAAAAAGAAAGCTATCTTTAAAGCTAAATGGACCATTGAATAATAAGGAAAAGATATTAAAATGAATATTATATTGTTAAGGCATTTAAAAAGATGAAGTGAGCATTGGTGGTAAAAGTCAAAGGAATTTTGGTTTTGTTTTTTGTCTTTTAATTATTTAGTAGGATAAAGTATTTCCATACTAGTTGTGTAGCATATGTTTAAATACAATATAACAAAATATCAATGATTGATGTTTTCAGGGGTGAATTATTTGACTTTTTAATAAGCATTTGTAAAATTTTCACAGGTTTTTTTACCGAATATAAGATATACCTAGAAATGGAATTTTAAAGCTTTGTCAAAGATTTTTGTGAGAATTGGATGAGTTTTTTAATTAGTTCTAATCAGTTATAAATGACAGCAAATAGAGCACAACTCTTCATTTCTCTGGTTGTACACAATGTAGATTTGTACCACATGTGCAGTCATTACCTGTACCTAGGGGTAATCATGTTCATCTCACTCAACCATCTTTCCTACCCTTATGCCCAGTTCCCTTCCCTCTCTCCCCTTGGCCCAATCAAAATTCCTCCATTCTCCCCACCCCCACCCCCATTATGGATCAGCACCCACTTATCAGAGAGAACATTTGGCCTTTGTTTTTTGGGGATTGGCTTACTTCATTTAGCATGATATTCTACAGCTCCATCCATTTACCTGCAAATGCCATAATTTTCTTTTAATGCTGAGTAATATTCCATTGTGTATATATACCATAGTTTCTTTATCCATTCATCTATTGAAGGGTATCTATGTTGGTTCCACAGTTTAGCCATTGTGAATTTTGCAGCTATAAACTGAAGTGGCTATGTCCCTATGGTATGCTGTTTTTAAGTCCTTTGGGTATAGACTGAGGAGTGGGATAGTTGGGTCAAATGGCAGTTCCATTCCAAGTTTTCTAAGGATTCACAATACTGCTTTCCAGACTGGTTGTACAAATTTACAGTCCCACCAGCAATGTATGAGTGTGCCTTGTCATATAGGAAAAGTGCTTTCAATCCTGAGACATAGCAGTACTTCTGTAAGTGATGACTGCTATTATTATTAAATACTGCCCACAAAATATAATCCCATGTATTATGATATGAAGTTTGAGATATGAAATAACTAATAATTTGCTGCCTTCCTCCAAATATGTTGTATTTTATTCTATTAAGACTTGTAAATTTATAAATAACAATTTTGTGTATTTATGGGGAACAATTGGATGTTTCAGTACAAGCATGGATTGTGAAATGATCAAATCAGGTTAATTAACATACCTTTTGCCTTAAGTATTTATAATTTCTTTATGGTAAGAACATTTAACATCTTCTCCTTTACCTGGTGCTGAAGAACTACTATCAGAATCATATTCTGATCGTGCTCTTGGTGGATCTTATACTGAAACACTGAGGAAATCATTTCCTGAAACATGGGTTTGGAGTCTTATTACAACTGAGTGAGTTTTTAAATTATTATTATTTTTTTCTTCATTTAATTTTTTTTGGTCTGAGTGAAAATATCCATTGTCCTTCACAAAATGAGCGTGCCCTAAAGAGTAAAAATTAAGGGAGTGTGTCAAAATTCTGCCAAACCTGTGATAGGTTTCCACTAAATTCTCTTTTCTTCCTTTTACTTTCTCATTTCTTTCATTTATTTACTTATTTTTCTTACTCTGTTACTTTTTGTCATTTACTTTTATAAGAACTTGACTCTGTTGGAAAGAAAGTTTTATATAAAATAGTCTGGAATTTTGGTTTTTGTTGTGTAACATGGTGAACATGACACTCATCAAGTACACATGGATATAAGGGAAACAGGAGAAAGAAGAGGAACTAAAATGCTAAGGAATCAAAAAGGGCAACAAAGAAGAAATAATGAAAAGGAGGAAGAAAGGGACGAAGGGAGGTTGAGAAAAATGAATTTCTAAACAGCACCCAAAAAATTAAAGTACAAGGCTAGTGTACACATTTTAAACTTGAAAACCACTTATGTGACTCATATTTCTATGCTTATCATTAAAAGTAGACTAAACTAATCCTTAAATTATATATTCTGTGTAAATTAAATGAGTCCTTAATTACATGTATCCCGCTCACCCAACATTTCTAAATGCTTGAGTGTTTGAGACCATTCATGGTGTCCACTAATAACAAAGATAAAAATATACTCAGATAAAACCATCCTAGTATTTTATAAGAAAGTGAGAGATTTGTGTCTATGTCAAGTATTTTAGTAGTTTTTTTTTAATTTGGTAGGAATTGTAAGCAAAAATATACCCTCAAAAATATGTAGAGTTAAAAGGATGAGATCACAAATCTTAAAAAACAGAGTAGAAGCAAAGATAACAGTACTACAATAGGAGCATCTAATGCTCAGAACACAAATACCTGATTTTGAGCTTCTTTATAGATAATGTGTAACATGAAGCAAACAGAGTAAGAATAGAATAAAAAGAAGATTTGCTTACTGTAGTTTAGTAGCATTGAACTGTCAAAGGAAAGTCCATAAACATTTGAGTGGATGGGATAAAGTGATTATATGGTGACAGCTCCTCTCTTCAGTGTTATCTGAATCTCCTCTTTTAGCTCCACAGGAATAGCCAACCTTGGTCTGACGGTTCCCGACACCATTACACAGTGGAAGGCCAGTGGATTCTGCATGAATGACAAAGCTGGATTTGGCATCTCTCCAACCATCTCCCTGACAGCTTTTCAGCCCTTCTTTGTTTCCCTCACTTTACCCTATTCAGTGGTTCAAGGAGAAGCATTCACTCTAAAAGCCAATGTGTTCAACTATCTGAACAAAAGTGTTCAGGTACTAACTTAAGACTTCTTAGTAATATATATATATATATATATATATATATATATATATATATATATATCTTAGTAATAATATGCCTTTCCAGGTATGTCCTCCCTACATTTGAGCATATTAAATAGCTTTACCAACATTTTAGTGTGGAGTTTAGAAATACAAATTACCATACCTGGGTGACTGTGTGAAAATAAAATAATTTAAGACAAGGTTTATGAAGTAAGTCATCTGTTTGTGAGAGGAAGATGGATGGGAAGATTAAATGAGGAGATATGTGGCACCTCTATTTCTTCAACATATTCAAGAATTTTACACACAAGTCCCTCTGAAACAGAAGGATTTACAAAATTAGTAAGCTGGATATTATTAAATTGGAATTTCAATTGCTTGCCTTTCACCTTTGGATTACCTGAGGATATACAGAATATATGAGATTGTAGTAGCTTTGTGGACTTTTGACATCTGGAAGGTGGCTTCAAAACCAAATAGCAATTTCATATTAGAAAAAAGACATTTAAACCTGGGTTCATGTCTTAGTTTTAATAGATTCTAGTTCTGTTGCTTTGAACAAAGTACAACCTTTTTTAGTCTCAGATTAGGAATGTGTAAAATTATGTTAATAATAGCTATTTCACTGCGTTTTTATGAGCATTGAATGAAATAATATTAATAGTCTTGCACAAAACAATGCCGATAGGCATTGGATTTATCTTCCTCACCCTAGTCAGAATGGCAGTCATCAAAAATACAAGTAATAACAAATGCTGGAGAGGACATGGAAAAAAAAGGAACACTTTTACACTATTGGTGGGAATGTAAATTAGTACAACAACTGTGAAAATCAGTATAGAGGTTCCTCAAAAGACTAGGCATGGAAGCACCATATGACCCAGCTATACCACTCCTTGGAATTTATCCTGAAGAATTAAAGTCATCATACTACAGTGATACATGAATGCCCATGTTTACAGCAGCACAATTCACAATAGGTAAACTATGGAACCAACCTAGGTGTCCATCAACAAGTGAATGGATAAAGAAAATGTGTTACATATATACAACAGACATAATAAAATTATGTCATTTGGATGGAATTTGAGACCATTTTGTCACTCCTTTATTGATATCCATTTATTGGGTCAAAGTCACCAAACAATAGGTACAGCATGATGTATTCAGAATGCCAAGTAATATAAATAATCAACATACTTTTACTTTAACTGATACTATTTACTGAAAAGAATAAAGGGGGTTGTATGTATTGTTCAGTAGTAGAGTACTTGTCTGACACGTGCAAACCCCTTGGTTCAATCCTTGGGAAAAATAAAGATAAAATTGGAAAATAAATCATAAATATCTATTTAGTTTATCAGGATGCAGTATTGAGTAATAGTCATCTTTAGAAAAAAATAAGAGCATTTTTTATAATCAAGAAAGTTTCTATTTGCTTTTCTGTGAGACTGAATTGGAATATACTGTTCTAGATATTCTATATATGCTATGTTATGAAACCAAGATTCATAAGAGCTTATGTTAATTTATGTGATCAAAACATCAACTTATTTTGCTGCAGATCTCTAAAGAAATGTCTTGTTTAGTCACTAGTGCATTGATTGCTTTTTTCAAAATAACTAGTCAGAAAGTGCCAAAGGTCAAATTATAATAATTATGTAATGAGATTTTGAAGGTTTCCCCATGGTTTGGAAACCATTCTTCCCACAGCAGAATGTGAAATGGGAGAAATTTAACTTCTCAGGCATGTATGACTATATTATGTTTACATATGGAAAAGACTAAATCTTTTTCTATATTTTTTGCCAATGTGTCCTTCACAGATAAATACTGTATTAAAAGCATCTAGTTTTTACCAAGCCAGATTTCTCTCAACCAAGGATGAAAATGATTATATCAATAGCAATGAAAAAAAGTCCTTTACTTGGCTGGTTACCCCACATAAGCTCGGTAAGATTTTATGTAAGACATACTTTTATATAAGATATGCTTTTATATTCTTTTATAATGCTCCTAAGGGTTTGTTATACTATTTCTCTACTATAACAAATTTACCCATTTCATAGTACCACCATCCATTCTCCTATTCCTACTACAGCGCTCTCTCTCTCTCTCTCTCTCTCTCTCTCTCTCTCTCTCTATATATATATATATATATATATATATATATATATATATATACACACATATTTTTTTCTGATCACTCTATCTTTATTTTATTTATTTATTTTTATGTGGTATCAAACCCAGCACCTCACACGTGTTAGGCAAATACTGTACCACTGAGCCATAACCCCAGCTCCTACAATACTCTTCTATCACCTAAATCCAATATATCTGGGGATAGGAGTAGGGAGTTGAATCAGTTTCTGACTTTAAAATTTCCTGTTTTCTATGCAATTCTCAATTTAAAGTTCTGTACAATTTCAATTACTTTTACAATTTGCCTCAACTTAGATCCCAAAATGATCACTGTTTCCTTGAATCTTCATTCAAATGACTCTGCCATTCACATTTCTTGCCATTTCAGGTACAATCAATATCACCATTACAACTAAAACCCTGCAGAGGAGTAGCTATGCCAACAGGTCATCCATGGGTCAGGATATTGGTTGGAAGGATACATTAATCAAACCACTGCTGGTAGAGGTATGATCTTAATGGAAAACTGTGGTCCTTCATGTTTATTGCAGCACTGTTTGTAATAGCTAAGATGTGGAATCAACCTAGGTGCTCCTCAAAAGGGGAATGGATAAAGAAAATGTGGTTTATATCCACAATGGAGAATTATTCAGTCATAAAGAAAAATGGAATCATTTCATTTGAAGAAAAATAGGTGTAATTGGAGGAGAACATGTTATGTGAAATAAGCCAGATATAGAAAGACAAGTATGAAAAAGTTAAAAATGTTGATTTGAAAGTAGTGATTACTAGAGATTGGGAAACACAAGGAATAAAGATGAGGATAGAAAAAGGGAGGTTATATTTGCTCACAGTGTATATCACATTTATGCATGGAAATGTCACACCGAACCTCATAATTATGTGCAATCAATGTGTGGTAATTAAAAAAAAAAAAGAAAGAAAGAAACTTAACGGGCTTTGAGGAGAAGCCTACTTGTATTTCAACATTTTTTCTTCATAAATAGATATTAAGTAGATGTTTCAAAATTCATAGAAACAGGTTTTATTCACTTATATAACAATACAGCACAATATTTTAATAAAATATTTGGGACAAAAGGCCAGAGATAGCCATTTATTCCACTCCGTAAAGAGAACATTTGCAAACAATGTTTATTATTCTTGAAATTGAGCAACAGAATTTTGGAGATTGAAGGATTTTTGAGAAAATTCTTGCCTTCAGTTTTTGTAACACTCAGCTTCTTTCATAGCATGCAAAATAAAATTTTCATTTCAGAATTATCTTGGACTTAAAAATTCATATATTCATTACCTGTTACAAATTTTTCAGAATGGTTTATTTATATATTATTAATAATTTACAAATGTTCTGAAATTACTTGAAACATGAAATTAAGTATAACTACCCTCTCTTCTTTCAACAATTAGCCCGAAGGTATTAAAAAGGAGGTGACACAAGGCTCACTTATTTGCACAAATGGTAAGTAGATATCTTTACACAGGCTTTCTGACATGGCAATGTTGAATGACACCTCCATTTGTCTTTGGGGATTATTCTTTTTTATCTCTAATATGTGGCTACTGGGAAAAATTAAGTTACTTTCAAAAATAAAAGTTTAACATCCTATGTATCAAGGTAATTGTAAAACTTTTAGGTCTTCCTTATTTCCTACACCATAAATCAAAAACCAGAGCATCCTAATTTTATTTAATTCTTAATTCTACTCCTGAATTTCTTTCCATCTAACCCTGATTCTTTCATCAAAATACTCATGATTACAAATGTTCTGTCCAAAGACCACCAACAGGGTAGAATGATCTCTAACTACTTCAAATACATAGCTTCTAGGACCTTCTCTTGTCAACCTATCTCGGAGCCAAATTATGGTAAGTCTTTTTTTCTAACTACTACATCACCAGAGATTCATTACTTACCCAGAGGTTTGACTCATATCTATTGTCTACATATCTTTCCATTTCACCAAATTCAACAACTAGCTTGCCGTATAAATAACAGAGTACAACAAATATTTTTCTATTATCTAACTTATTTTTCAGTGGCTGCTATTTTTTTGTTTCCTTATTTGTTTGAATGTTAAAAATGCAAAATTCTTCTAATCAGAGAAGCCAAAAGTCTCATTTTATTTTCTAATATCTTATCACCTCAAGGAGTATACTCAGGTAGTAGAGCACTGTAGCACCTGTGTAGAAATTATATTGACCCTGAATTCAAAAAGCCTGGATCCAAGCTAGATGTTCTCTTAATTTTTTTTTTCTGATTGCTTTATAGTTAGGAATAAGCAATAAGAAGATATTAAGTAATTTATTAATAACATATAAATTATAATATAAAACTCCTAGTTTTTAAAACAAATGAGAGTTCTGAGTTAATTGATGAACTTTTGTGTTTCTTAGGATCCACAGTATCCCAAACAATAACATTCACTTCACCAGAAAATCTTGTGAAAGATTCACTGAGAGTTTATTGGTCTGTTCTTGGTAAGTCTGAAATACTATGAGATGAGGAAATTATACATAGGTTTAGAAGAGGAAGAAAAAGCATTCCTATTTTTGCCCTGGTTCTATTTGTTAGCTTGTCATCTATTTGGGTTCCATATCTATCCTTCTGATTTTATGATTGATATTGATATATCTGACTAGATATTCAACTACACTCAGAAATCAATTGTCAGAAACTCTAAAACATCTTCATTTTTCTGGCTCTTACCTTTCCCTTTTTTAACTGAGATAGAGTCTAGCAATATTGTCCAGGGTTGGCAATCCTCTTGCCTCAGCCTTCTGAATAGCTGAGATTACAGATTGGTGCCACCAAACCCCAGCCTCTTTCCTTTTTATAAAGGTCATTGTAACTCTGGTACATACAATTTAGTCTCTCTATTGATCTTTCCATCTGGTGTCTCAATTAAAGACCACCACAGTAAAGAATAGTTCTGATGTGCTCTCATAAACTAGTGATTTTCAGAACATATCATGTAGGGCTAGTAAACATTGGTATTTCACTCCTTTTGATTGGAATTATAATACTGAGGCCAAAGCAAATAACATTCCACACAAAGGTAGTGGTTCTTGCAGGCCAATGATCGCGGGCAGACAAAGCCTTTTATTTCACTCTGCAGGCTCTATAAACATAGTCATCTTCAAATAAATGCAAGATCTTGAGGCTAATCAATAACAACTAATAAATACTTTTGGACATATGCCCAAGGTAGTTTTAAAATGGAGATCTGAGGGATTCAGTGGAAGGGCTCTGCACTCCATGTGGCATTATGGTTAATCCTCTTGTTGTCAAAGAAAAAGGGTGGTCTAGAAAAGTGCTCATGAGCAAAACAAGTCAAATCAAGAACATCCTCCAACCTCCAACATCAAAACCCAAAACATGGGGGCTTAGCTGAGCTTACACTTTAGGCAAATCACTCTCATCCTTAAAACTATGCCCTAACAATAGATTGAAAGCATAATTATATTCATGGCAATCACCCCAAAGCATTCCATGAACTTATTTGTAAATAGTTTAATTTATTAAAATGGTGTTGAATTTACTTTGCTAGTATTTTGTTGAAGATTTTTGGGTTTATGTTCAGCAAAGTTACTGACCTACAGTTTTCTCTTCTTGAGTAAATGCTGGCCACTAAAACAAGTCTGGGAATGTACTATCCTCTTTAATGTCTTGAAAGAATTTAAGAAAAATTGGTTTAATTATTCTTTAAATATTTAATTGAATTCACTGTTTAGCCATTTGGTCCTGAGCTTTTATTTGTTTGGAGACTTTTTTATTTGTCAATCTTATTACAATTATTGTTCATATTTTCTATTTCTTCATGATTCAATCTTGGCAAGTTGTTAATTTCTTCTAGGTCATTTAATTCATTGGCATATAATTATTCAAAATAGTTTTTATGGATTCTATATATTGCTGAGGGCCATTGCTAAGTAAGAATGACGCATGGCATGACCCAGGTCATTTGCAGTGTCATTGCATGTAAGGTGACCTTGCTCAAGGATCAGGGCGGATCCGGGTTTAGGGCTGATCTGGGGTTTAGGGCATTCCCGGTTTAGGACAATCCGGGTTTAGGGTGGTTCCAGGTTTAAGGTGTACCCTGCTGGGAATAGGGCGTATCCTGCTGCCTCAGGTGCCCTGCTCGTTGAGTTCCCCTTGAGTTCTCGTTGAGTTCTCCTGGGATTCAGAGAGTATTTGGGATTTTGCCCAGAACGTGATTGGGGCCTGGAACGTGGATTTCCCGAGAACGTGTGTAGAGTGCTGGTGACAGTTCGAGAATAAAGAGTTGCTGTTTGAATCTACAAGGCTGTGTGGTGATTTTGTGCCCAGCCAGACTGCAGCAATATATCTCTGTGACATCCATTCTAGTGTCTTCTTTTTTGCTTTAAAATCTCTCTGATCTTATTTATTTGAGCCTTCTCTCTTTTTACTCAGTCTAGGTAAGGATTTGTCAATTTTTATTTATCCTTTCAAACAACCTGCTGCAAGTTTTTTCTATAATTGTTTTTTAAGTCTTTATTTCAGTTCTGATAATTTATTTTCTGCTTTCTGTTGGACTTAGTTCTCTTTGTAGTCCCTTCAGGTGTAAAGTTAGTCTGTTTATTTGACATCTTTTATTTTTCTTAATGTAGGCATTTATTGTTATAAACTTTCCTCTTCAGCTACTTTACTATATCCATAAGTTTCTTGTGGTATGTTTCCATTTCTCTTTTTCTCAAGATTTTTTGTTTTCTTTTGATTTCTTCTTTGACTCATTAGTTGCTCATAAGTGTGTATTTAATTTCCACAGATTTGTGCCTTTTGTAATTTTCCTTCTGTTGTTGATTTCTAGTTTCATATGATTTTCATCAGAACAGATGCTTGATGTGATTTTAATCTGTAGACTGTGTGCTTTGCTGTAACAGAGCACAGCAGATAAGAAAATTGACTCTCACAGAAGGCTACCTAGATTTGAATCCCAGATTTACCACTTGCTGTATCATTTTGGACAAGTTTCTAAACCTCTCTGTGCCTCATTTCTCATTGTCCCTTAAATGAACTTAATAATATCACTTACTTCATAAGCTTGTTATAAAAATTAAAATAAGATGCATAGATACCTCCAGATACATAGTCAGGCTATGGAAGTGCTAGGAATTGACAGGAAGTGTGTTAGGGAAGGGACTGAGTCCAGGAACTCTGAATCCATATTGATTTGGCTTATTCCTGACTCTGTTGCATCTTTTATGAATGATGGTGGAAATACTTTTAGCCTTCTCTGCCTCTATTTCTTCATAGATAGGAGCTGTAGTATCTATGTATGTTATTGTTCTAGGGATTGAATGAATTAGTGTGAGTAAAGTGCTCAGAAGAGTATCTGCTACATGTTTCATAGATGCTCAATTGGGGGGCCACATTTTGTCTCTTTTGATTGATGAAGGGCCTGATATTTTCTACTTCATCTTGGGACCTCTTAGGACTTTTGATTCCCACAATCTTTTTAGTTCTTTTTCTCTTGACTGTGCTGCTTGGGATAACAATTTCCCCCCTTACTTCTGTAAATAGTGCCTTAAATTATCTTGCTAATTTTATGGTATGGCCTCAACAAACAGAAAAAAGAGAAAGCTCCAATAATATTTTAAAAATAGTTATCATGAATATACATAACACAGAAATATTGAGAATAAACTAATTTTATTTATTTACCAATTTTTATGAAGCACATCATATTGACTTGATTGTCTTTTCAGGAGACATTCTGGGTTCTATCATGCAAAACTTACAGAATTTTCTCCAGATGCCTTTTGGGTGTGGAGAACAGAATATGGCCTTATTTGCTCCTAATATTTACATCTTGGACTATTTGAATCAAACTGAACAACTCACAGAAGAGATAAAATCCAAGGCTATTGGATATTTGACCACAGGTGAAACATTTAAAAGCGCTATTTTGTTTATCCAAGTTAAATCTCTGAATCCCAGCTGTTTTGCTTATTAAGTACATAAATGTACATACACATATATACATACATATATATGTATATATGCCTATACATGTATATATTTATCCACATGTAATAAACATAACTATTCAATTAATCAAATTTTCCTTCTGGACAATTGCTTCTAAACTGAAAAATAGTAACTCTTTTCTTATTTTAGGATATCAGAGGCAGATGTCTTATAAACACTCAGATGGATCATATAGTACCTTTGGACATGAAGATCAACAAAAAAATACATGGTTTGAATTTATTATTTATATCAGCAGTGAACTAGATATTTCAAAATATGTCTACTTTTAAATGGATTTTGGAGATTTTCTAAAAAGTATGGGTCCTGTCCTCCAAAGTATCCACATTATTTTAATAGGACTCTTGAGTTCTTTGGTTAAACATTTATGGAATTTCTATCTTTTACTTACCAAAAGAATGAATAGCAAATAAGCAAATCATTAGACAATACACAGTCACTCAGTGGGACAAAATAAGGGATGGGAAATCACACTTATTATATAGCAAATTATTCCAATTGAAACATTAACATCTTCCAACTCACCTTCAAAGATAGGGCCAACATTGCTTGTGCTGACTTGTGATACTACTCAGAAATCATGTTGTATAGACATGTACTCTCTTAATGGCAAATGAAAAAAAAAAAACCCACTAATTTGATTAGAATAATAGTTGCCAAAAATAGTGCAATAAGAACCAATACAAAATAAATTAAGCATAGGTTGTGTTTTTATTGTAATATTATTCTACTTGTTTTAAATTTTATTCCCATACAATAACTTTTAATTACAGACACATATTCACTCCTTGTTAATATGTCCTGAACATTAATATGGTTTTGAGATACAAAAAGATAAATAGTAATTAAAGTAATCATTGTTGTTTCTTTTATAATCGAGTATAATTAATCCCTGTAACAACCCAATGGAGCAGGTAACATTATAATACTTATTTTACATATGAAGAAATAGAAACAGTTTATTTATTGACAGGGCTACCATAACAAAGTGCCACAGACTGTGTGGCTTATCCTCTTACAATTCTGGAAGATGGACGTCCTAAGGTCAGTGTGATGGCAGAGTTGATTCTCTCTCCTTGGCTCCCAAGTGGCTACCTTTTCTCTAGGTTTCCCTAGTCTTTTGTCTGTCTGCATCGAAATTTCCTTTTCCTTCTATAAAGACACAAGGCACGTTGGATTAATGCCTAAACAAATATTCCACTTTTACTTTGTTACCTCTTTAAAGACCCTGCCTCCAAATATGGTCACTTTCTGAGGTATTAAGTGTTAGGACTTCAACATATGAAAATGAGGAAGACACAGGGCAACCCATATCACAGAGAGGGTAAATATATTCTTTTAAATGTACTCTGCTAATTATGTGGTAGAATTTTAATGTCTTTCCAGAATCTGACCTTTTACCTGCTCTAATATTTTGCCCCTGAGTACTATATGATCTCTGACCTCAGAATGTTTGCAGTACACTGAGAAAGAAAATAAAGTACATTGGAACACAACATGGCAAAAGATGTAATAAAAATATACACAAACTGCCATGGTAGCTCAGAGGCAGGAAAAGTTCCCCAGGAACTATATAATGACGTGTTTGTACACATTAACATGTTGATGAATCTGACCTAACACTTAACTGTAAGGAACACAAGTCTAAAAGGGAAAAGGATGCATATCTAAGTACACACCTTATTCATCATGTCTGGAGGAGCCATTTCAGGTAATCATCTGTGAGAACAAGTCACACATGCCTGAGCTTGACTGCTAATAGGTTTTCTTTAAAAAAAAATATGTATTTATTTATTTTTTTATTTAATATATGACAGCAGAATGCATTACAATTCATATTACACATATAGAATACCTTTTTTCATATTTCTGGTTGTATACAAAGTATATTCACACCAATTCGTGCCTTCATACATGTACTTTGGATAATGATGTCCATCACATTTCACCATCATTTCTAACCCCATGCCCCCTCCCATTCCCTCCCACCCTATTTAGAGTTCATTTATTCCTCCCATGCTCCCTCTCCCTACCCCTACTCCCTACTATGAATCAGCATCCTTATATTAGAGAAAACATTCAGCATTTGTTTTTTTGGAGATTGGCTAACTTCACTTAGCATTATCTTCTCCAGCTCCATCCATTTACCTGCAAATGCCATTATTTTATTCTCTTTTATTGCTGAGTGATAATCTATTGTGTATATATGCCAAATTTTTCTATCTATTCATCTATTGAAGGGCATCTAGGTTGGTTCCACAGTTTAGCTATGAATTGTGCCACTATAAACATTGATGTGGCCGTGTCCCTGTAGTATGCTGTTTTTAAGTCTTTTTGGTATAAACTGAGGAAAGGGTTATCTGGGTCAAATAGTGGTTCCATTCCCAGATTTCCGAATTTCCACCAATTTGCAGGCCCACCAGCATGTGTGAGGGTGCCTTTTTCCCCACATCCTTGCTAACACTTATTGTTGTTTGTCTTCATAATAGCTGCCATTCTGACTGGAGTGAGATGGTATCTTAGAATGGTTTTTGAATTGCATTTCTCTAACTTCTAGTGATGATGAACATTTTTTCATATATTTGTTGATTGATCGTATATGCTCTTCTGAGAAGTATCTGTTCAGGTCCTTGGACCGCTAATAGGTTTACATAGGTATAACGTTCTGTAACTTCTTATTAAATTCGTAGACATTAAGCGAAGAGAAATGCAGGAAGTCTACTTTGGCTCAAGGTACAGATAAAAGAATCTGAGAATACATCATAGTGGAGATAACCCTTCATCTGGGACACATGATGAATGGGGAGAAAGAAAAGGAGGCATATGAGCCAAATGAGAGGACATTTGAAAAGGAAGCAGATACACTATGAGGCTAAAATTTGGGGAAGAAATTTTCAGGATGTGAAACTCAAAAATCCAGTTGTGTCCAATCATCTATGCTAATAATAATGTTGTCTTCTTCTCAATGTTTATTATAAATATGCACCATATGTAATTTTTTTCCAGGCTCACTGCATTTGTATACAAGTCATTTGCACAGGCCAAACGCTACATTTACATTGATGACAAAATTCAATCTCAAACACTTATTTGGCTCTTAAGTATTCAAAAATCTGATGGCTGCTTCATAAATCATGGCAAAGTCTTCAACAATGCTTTGAAGGTATGCATGGAATTCTACCTTACAGTTTTCTATTCTTTCATCATGATCATTTAATGAATCCCAAAGTACCACTTCGGGAAATTTCTACTGTAATCAAACTGGAATTTCAAGTCACATAAATTAACTCTCAGGAAAACCAGTAATTTCTTTTTCTCTTCACAAATACATTATTTTGTTTCCATCAGTCAGATTTAAAACTAAAAGAATCTAACAGTAGTTGTGGGGCACTGTGGCAAGATGACTAAGAAAAGTATTAATGGAAATAAAAAATGTAAGAGAACCCAGATAATTACCAATAATTTAATAGTTAATCATTTAAGAAATTATTCTTGGGCAGCTAAGGCAGGAGGATCACATATTTGAGGCAAGGAGGGCAACTTATGACTGGGGATGCAGCTTAGTGGTAGAGAGCTTGCCTAGTTTACATGAGGGCCTGGGTTCAATTTTATGAATAACACATGAATAAAGGTTTTTTCTTAACTTTTTAAAAATTATTAGAATTTAATTTGTTGAATTCTCACTTGTTAATATCCCCAAGGTAGTGTTAACAAATGAATTTGTCTTTTATTTCTGAGCTTTTCCTAAACTTGTATTTTCTTCATAATTATCATGTGTTTATAGTACATCACAGATTTAATATAATTATTAAATATAATAAATATAAATATAATAAATATAATATAACATTTACCCAAATATTATCCCTATGTCAACAACTCAGAAGTAGCCACTGTTTTGGCAATTGTTTCCTTCAGTCATTTCCCCAATGCTATATAAACATAATTTGGATTATTATGTACTGATTTTTTTAATCTTACTTTTTTGAAACCTAATTTGTACATAATGATTTGCCATTCCATTAGAATAACTTAAAATCATAAAATAAATATCTTTTTGTATACTCCATCATATGGATAAATCATCAATTATTAAATTATTTGATCTTCTTGTATTAAGTGAAAACAATAAATAAGTTGAATATTAAATACAAACTAAAGTTACATAAAAATTCTTATATGTTCTCCAATTTTATTAACTTAAGGACAAATATCTACAAGTAAAATTTTTTGAAGTTCTAAAATGACACCAGACTGATTTTTAGTAAAGTTATGTCAATTTATATTTTCTCTATGTGGAGAGTGTCTATCTGAATCATAGTACTATCACTAAAACTGAGCAATATATGTATGAAAACAGTCTTCAAAAATGTAGGAACACAAAAAAACTGCTTTATCCTATTTCTGTTAACAGGTTAAACAATTTTTTTCACATGATTACTTTCCATTTATATTTTCTCCCTTGTAATTTTCATTTAATCTTTGGAGTATCTTAGATTTTATTTACTACTAGTATTATTGTATAATCTAAAAATCATTTATTTGTCTACTCTAAATAGTTTACCATTTATAGCACCTCCTGATAATTACTGTTGTCTGGGCTTTCTGATTTTTGAGGCCATTTATATTGATGATGAAGTTCAGTCTCAAACTCTTATTTGGTTTCTGCTTTCTGTACTTGCTATGATTTCTTTCTGCTCTGCTTGTTTTGTTGATCAACATGCCTCTCTATTTTATGCTACACTCTTTTAATCATTGTAATATGTTAGTCTGCATTTTCCATGACACTTTCTAGGTTCTTTCTGGGGTGAGGATGAAGGAGAGAGTTGGGAGATGTTTGCAGAGCATCCTATGCCTCCTTTGATTTTAAATACATTTGTAGGACCATAATTTATTTTTCTAAGTTATGTTACTATTTCTATAAATGTTTTATAGTTTCATGCACTATTTCCTAATTTATGAGAAGTATCTTTTGAGGATATGAAAATCTTTGTCCCCCAAATTAGGAAAACATGTACAAATCTGAAGTTTCCACAATACATTACATTTATTTTTCCATTCGTACATTACAATTATATGTAATAGTGGGTTTCATTATTCCATATTTGTACCTGCATATAATATAATTGGATCAATCTCATTTCCCTGTACCTTCCTTTCCCTCCCCTCTGCCCTTCACTATCTGCTTGATCTGATCTTCTAATTCTTCTAATTTTATTATTATTTTAATTGGTACATTATAATTATAAAGGCTGACAATACATTACATTTCAAAAGAAACACTTCTTTTCCTCTGAATTTCATGAAACTGACATGATCATGTTTTATTCAGGGAGAAGATAATGAAATCTCCCTCACTGCATATGTCATCAACGCCCTGCTTGAAGCTGGTCATCCAGTCTCAGTAAGTTGCTCACAAGTGATACCACTAACTAGCTTCTTAAGAATTCAAAACTTTATGCTAACAATATAGTAATAGATCTAAAACTATATGTTCAGAGCTATTGCAGAATACTGCTGAACCAATTTCCTTCTGTTAGATTTAAATACAAGGTGTTCCCAAAAGGTATTGTGTGGGATGATGCAAGAACATTCAAAGGTAAAATGATTAGATTATGAGAGGTGTAACCTGATTTGGCGCAGTCTGGCTGGGCACAATTCAGGAGCCACTTGTCAAAAGAAATGAACTTTATTTTTAGAAAAAACACACCACACCACACAGCTCCTCAGGAAAAACCCTCAGAGCCCAACTGCCACCACCGGCTTCCCACAAGCCTCTCAACCTCCCCAACTCCTCCTGCTTTTGAGGCCGATTGGCTGGGTCGTGTGGGCGGAGCCAAAAAAAGTCCCCCAATGAGCAGTTCCTGGTCTGAAAGGGCGGGGAAACAGCCCAATGAGCATCCCCCCAGAGGAGCCAATCAATTGGCAGCTAGAAGTTTGCTCCTGTGGCTGTGAACCAGTCATCAGCTGGCAGCTGGAAGTTTGCTGGGGCCCCTTCGGCTGTGGCTCTCAACACTGATTGGTGCATTAGCTCACTAAAATGGATTAACTGGGTGGTGATTATAGGAAGGCAAGGTGTGACTGGTGAAGATGGGTCACTATGGATATGACTTTGGAATTCATATTTTGTCCTTGAGCAGAGCTCTCTCTGCTTAATTACTATCTTGTCCTGAGCTGCTTTACTCTAACAAGCCCTTCAACCATGATTGTTCTGCTTCATCTCAGGCCCATAGCTGACTGTGGGCTAACCCTCTGAAATCTTGAGCCAAAATAAACTTTTCCTTCTAAGTATTTATTTAAACAGTGATTTAATAGTCAAATCACACTGTTCAGGTAGAACTATGCAGATATTAAAAATAAATTCATTGAATTTCCCTTTGAACATTTCCGCACAAACAAGATTCATTCCTGATTTTTTTTTCTGGTAAAAACACACCTACCTGTATTTGGACATATGTTTTCATGTGCAAAGATTTTTTCTTTTCCTTTCCTTTTGCAGTTTGTGGCAGTTCAAAAGGGTCTCCAGTGCATAGAGGCTGCATCTAGGAAGAGAGTTCTGACTATCTATGACCAGGCTCTTTTGGCCTACACTTTCAGTTTAGTACAATATAAAGACAAAAGAGAATTCCTCATCAATGAGCTGAGCAAGAAAGCAAAGAAAGCAGGTGAGTACCTTTGACATCTTTGGAATCACATGTTGAACAAGAACAATGGCTAGAAAGGGTATAATTAACATCCTTTCATGTTTCTCTATTTCTAATTGTGGGGTTTGCACTCCCTTAGATATCACCGGTCCAGTTACATGCACATAAAATCCTGTACTTTGACATAGGTGCTATTGACTTCCCTTCACTTTTTTCTCAGGTGGCTCAGTGTATTGGGAACTGGAAGAGCGAATTTCTATGGAAGGCTCATCCTCTTTCTACTATCCTCAGTCTTCCTCTGCAAACATAGAGACAACCTCTTATGGCCTACTAGCCCTTCTTTCCAAGCCGAGGCTGACTTCAGAAGAGCTGTCCAGTGCTTCACAGGTTGTACAGTGGGTAGCAAAGCAGCAAAATTCCTATGGAGGTTTCTCCTCCACGAAGGTAACAATATCTTTTCTAAATCTCTAAGAAAACTGGGCACATACTTGGCCTTGGCAGTGTTGGTCTTTTAATGTATAAATTATATTTTTCCTGCAGGTGGTGGGGGAGTGGGGGTTGTGGCTCAGCGGTAGAGCGCTCACCCAGCACGTGCGGGGCCCTGGGTTCGATCCTCAGCACCACATAAAAATAAGTAAATAAAATAAATATATTAAAAATATATAATTTTCCAATTAAATTTGTTATCACTATTAAGCTTGCTATCCTTATTTCACCTGTAGCTCATAGTAATCTTTAATTGGTATACATTAATTGTACAGAATAGTGGATTTCAATGTGGTATGTTCACACGTGCCTATAATTTTTAAATTTGCTGTGTTTCAGGTTTGGGGGAATATTTTCTCTAGTAAGAACTGCAAGTATTTATTCAAAAGATAATTAGCTTTTATTTTTTTTTTTCTGTATAGAAGAAAGCCTTTTAATGCAATAGCTTAACACACAGTTCAACAAATTCAGTCAGTTCAAATTAACTTCAACATATTACAAAGAACTAAGAAGCCTGGAGGGGCCACCACTTTGGGGAGGAGGGTGGGGAGGCGAATTGCTTCCCAGAATGGAAGGATACTGACCTCAAGGAGGCCCCTCTCCCCATCCCAAGAGGTGTGTCCATAACCATTGGGCTCTTGCAATAGCTTAGGTATCTCCATGCAGAAGGCAGCAGCACAGAGTCAAGGGCAGAGCCATCTAAGGATCACAGCTCTGTCTTCTCACCAGAGCAGGGCCTGGAAAAAAGGCACTGGGGCTGACACAGAAAACTGTGCCCAAGACAGGGTGGTGACAGCAGCTGCAGCACTGGAGAACCAGCTCAACAGACCGCTTTGGGTGTAGGTGGGCCAGGGATTTTAGCTTCTCCCCCACCTCTACCCAGGAGCTAAGTTCAGATTAACTGCAGAGAGGTGAGGTCTGATGCAGCTACAAAGGCAGCATTCAATCTGCAGCACACTTGAGGCAGCGACAAAGCCAAGTGCTTTGCTGTTGAGGACCTGCTTGTCTGATATGCTAGCTAACTGAGGCAGCAGGGTGGGAACAGGGCTCTAGCTTCACACTCAGCTCTAGCAAGGCCCTTTGTGGTGAAACCATGTCTGTGCTTGACTATGCTGGCTTAACTTGAACAAGCAAAGCCTCTCAAAGGTGGAGGCCACTGCTGTTGGAGGGGCTGAGGAGGGTATTTCAAAGCTCCCTGTGGGGCATGCTAGGTTTAGGGGGTGGCTGCAGGGGAGGACACCTCTGGCTTCTCTGGGAAGGTCTGACAAAAGATTCCTGCTGCCCTTTAAGGTTTTATTTCAGTTTCTGGTTAACTTCCTGCCTTAACATCTGTGCAGGGCCATTCCTGGGCTCAATTTGTAGGAGGCTGCTAATGTCTGCAAGGCTGGATTTATAGTCCTTGAGTGACTTGTAGGCTTGAGCCCATCTGTACAATGCTCTCATGTTCTTGCCATCCAGCTTGAGGGCTTCTGTGCAGTCCTTCACTGCCTCCTTGTCCTGATTCAGGACCAGTGAAGAGTGCTCTGTGGCTCTCCGTGGTAGATTCCAGGTTACTAAACAAGAGGCTTTCATTGTACTTCTCAATAGCTTTCTTATGGTTGCCCTTCTTTACAAGCTCATTGCCTTCTTCCTTCAGACCTCTGGCTCACTCCACATCCCCAGCAGAAGGCACTGTGCTCTTTGTAGTTTCGTTGGATTTGTTTTTGGTTGTCTCTTTGTTTTCTGAAGGCAAGGAATTCCACCTCTTCTGGTCTGAGACAGGCACCACAGGGATAGAGCGCAGCTTCAGGCGCCACTCAGGCCCAAGTGAATCCATGAGAGCTCTGGTCATTCTGTTGATACCTTTCAGGGCTGATGCCACACTGTTATCAATTTGCAGTACAGTCTTGTAGTCGACATAGGCCCGAGGATACTTCTCTAGGGCCTCATAGGCAGATGCTCGCCGCAGCAGAGGCTTCATGCTGAAAGGAACCAAGGCCAATACTGAAGTGCAGTCTTTGATGCAGTCTGTGCAGTTTCCATCCTTTAAGTGGCATGCTGCTCCATTGGAGTAGAGAACACTCTTCTTCAGGGTCTGAAGAACCTCCCACCTGCAGCAACCTCAGCGCGCGACAGTAGAGCGCTGAGGCCTCCGCGTACTGGCCTTTGCGGAAGCTCTGGTTGCTGATGGCGCGGAGCCCCTCCACGGAGTCTGGGAGTTTGGAGGCCATCCCGGGGCCTGGCGGGCACACGAGGCTTTATTTTTTTATTATTTATTTTATTTTATTTTTGAGAGAGAGAGAGAGAGAGAGAGAGAATTTTTTAAATATTTATTTTTCAGTTTTCGGTGGACACAGCATCTTTATTTTATTTTATGTGGTGCTGAGGATCGAACCCAGTGCCCCCCACCCCCCCCACATGTCAGGGGAGCACCCTACCGCTTGAGCCACATCCCCAGCCCAGCTTTTAATTTTTAAAAGTGGAATTTTAAAATAGGAATATCTACATGCTAAAAATTTATATTTAAAATTAAAGCCATAATTTTATCAAAAAAAATTGTATCAATGTTTTCTTGTTAGCAATGAGAATCTTTCTCTAATTGCAAAATCATTGGCCAAATCTCTTTTGATCTGATACAATAAAAGTGACCACTTATTCGCTGTAAAAATACATATCCATGGTTACTTATATGTTCTTTCCTCTCTTAGTTCTCTTATTTCACGTGTGTTTAGTCTCCTGGTCACATTTCATTTGCATGTTTTCTAATAGGAGTATTCATCTTTTTCTTGATACTTTTTAAGATTTCTGAATACAATAAAAGTATCAGTCATGCTGATATATGTGATATCCTTTCCAGGTTTCTATTTTTCTTTCAAATTGTGTAATACTTTGGATAAATAGTTTTTTTTTTCTTTTCATTTTTAATTAATTCTATAATGTTGTTTAAAGATCTCACTTTAATAGTAGGCTAAGAGTAACAACAAAGACAAAACAAAAACTATATAAATATATGTCCATACATTTATGGATTAATTACATTTAATTATTAATTGTTTTCAATTATAAATTAATTTATGATATTTTGATATAGACATATGGTAGAGACATAACTTGTTTTTTTTTTAAATTTTTGAGTAACCAGTTGTCTCAATGTCATTTATGCACTAATTAATCTTGCTACTTATTAAAAACACTGCTTTTATTGGAAAATAAAATTATATATTCTTGTCATTTTAGGCTTCTCATTTTTTTCACTAACTTTTAGCTTTTTATGTTTTAATATCTGGTAGTCTGACTCAGTAGGCATTTTAAAAATTTCCTTATTTCTTCTCACATGTGTTTTATATTAGATGACAATTTTGTCTTCATGAAAGAGTAGGATGGAAATGTTGCCATAAAACTCATTTATTAGTTAGGTACTGGGAATTGAACACACTGAGCTACATCCCTGTTTTAATCAGCTTTTATGCTGCTGTGACTAAAAGACACGACCAGAAAAATGTTAGAGGAATAAAAGTTTATTTGGGGGCTCATGGTTTCAGAGACTGTCCATAGACAGTCCACTCTATTCCTTGGAGCTCAAGTAGGGGCAGAACATCATGGCTGAAGAGTGACAGAAAGAAGCAGCTCACATAATGATCAGAGAGCAGAGAGAGAACTCTCCACTTGCCAAATACAAATATATACCTCATGTCCCCAGGGCCCCACCTCCTCCAGCCATACTCCACCTGCCTTCAATTACCACTCAATTAATCCCATCAGGTGATTAATTCACTAATTGGGTTACAGCTCTCATAACCCAATCATTTCTCCTCTAAACTTTCTTGCATTGCCTCACACATGATTTTTTGGGGACACTTCACATCCAAACCACAACAATCTCCAGTTCTTTTCATTTTTTATTATTAAGGTATCATTAAGATGCTGAGGACCTCCCTACATTGTGCCTGGAACTTGTAGTCCTCTTGCCTAAGCCTCCAGAGTCACTGAAATTACTGATGTACACTACTACACCTGGAACAAACAAACAAAAAACAAAAGCATTTATTTTTGATAAATTATACAATATTCAAGACAATATAGTTCACAAAACAATGAAAAATTAACAAAAATTGCAGTAGCTTTTAAAATCATTTTTGAATGAATCACAGCTATATTTGACTGTGATTTCTAAGTCCTATAATATGCTCTAATAGAATCCTGTCATTATTATTTTAGGATACTGTTGTGGCTCTCCAAGCTCTAACTCTATTCCAAAGGCTTACTTATTCTAAGAACAGACAAAATTTGGTGCAAATTTCCTCTGACAAAGCATTCAATATGGCCTTCCAAGTGAATGAAGAGAACCGATTGCTGCTACAACAAATTCCATTACCAGAAATTCAGAAAAACTACACTGTGGATGTGAGTGGTGATGGCTGTGTGTACATGCAGGTAAATCTGGACTTTTTCCCCTATTTATCACAATTGTCAAATACACATGAAACTAAGAAGTGTAGTATAACCAATATCCAGATCAACGTTGTTCACATTTTTTTCTATTTGCTTTACTTGTTTTTTCTTTTTTAGCTGAATTTTAAAGTAAATTAGAGGCATCATACCACTCCTAAGTATATTATAATGCAGGTCCAAAATGTTCCATTGTTTGGCCTCAATGCCATTATCACAACTAGCACAAGAGCATAATAGTTTATAATATAATTTAATTACCACCAAATCTGTTTTGTAGGTCTTTTCTTTTTCAAACCAGATTCAATCACGGAAATGCTTTGCAATTGTTCATTGTGCTTCATAAATCTCTTTTAACTTAATAGATCTATCCGGTCTTTTATATTTTTGTGTGTGTGACATTAACTTTTTGAAGACTCACACTATTTGTGTTGTAGAATGTCCTTCATTCTGGATTTATCAGATTGTTCTCTTTGGGGCATTATTTAATTTGTTGCCTCATTACCTGTGTTTTCTATTAACTGAAAGTTAATCTTGTATTCATTTTGCTCACATACAGAAATATATCACTCTTGATGTTATTATGTTTTACCATTAGCTGAACACCTTCAAATAATGGCCAAATTTCTTCTGCTGTTTTATTTTCTGCTTTGAATCTACCAATTAATATTTAAAATATTACATTGGAACCATGCAAAAGTCAATTTTTGTATCAATTTTCATCAACATGTCTTAACATACATTGAAGATCTTTGCCTATATAAGATATTTCAATAAGGGCTAGAAAGTGGTGAATATTAATTCTAACATACCTTCTGTTTTTATAGCTGGCATTTTTATACAATATAGATATGACAGAGTATATATAATAAATTAGGTATTAATGGACATTTGGATTATTTTTCTTCTTTCACTATTACATATAGTATTGTAATGAATAATATATGTAAATTACTTCAAACTTGGGCAAATGCAACTTCAGAATACATTTCTATGAGTGTGATTATTAGGTCAAATTAAATCTTTAACTAAATGTATTTCCAAATCATGTTATTATTGATTTTGATTCATATTTTTTTTTATTCATTTAATACAGGTATTCTCCTTAATCCTGTAACTCTTGCATTATAATATTAGCTGTTTCTTACAACAAAAATCAGATCATTTTAATTATTTCCTCAAAGATAGTATGGATATAATTTAGCTATGCTATTGCTTAGCTGTGTAAGGTTTGAAAAGTTAGTAATCTCTCTGAACCTAATTTCCCTTTTTACAAAGTGAAGACTAAAGTAGCAATGGATTAACTGGGCCATTGGAAATAATTAGTTATTACATAAAAAGCACTTAAAAGGGAGTACATAGTATATGCTCAATAAATGTTAATTTATCATAACTACTATTACCAGTGGCATACAAAATAGGAAGCACATAGGTTCAAATTGATTTTTAAATTAATTTTAAACTTCAATAAGGAGGTAATGAATGAAAACTTTTTATTGATATGTAAAATATTCTATGTTTATTTAAGACAACTCTGAAATATAATATCCTGCTGCCCAAGAAGTCATCTGGGTTTTCCCTTTCTGTAAATACAGCCAATGCTTTCTGCAGAGGATTATTTGATTCAAAGTTTGATCTTGTGGTTTCAGCCAGGTAATGACATTTTTTATTTTGTTGGTAAATTAAGATGTGTCTCTA